TCAATGAGATGTTGAAAAGGAAAATATTTGCTCTAGGCTGAATGATTCTCTATGTGGATAATTATAGAACATATGGCGGTGTGTATGAGGCAGCAGTGTTGTGTGGGTTTAAGTGTCAGAGGGGTTGAGCGGCAGTAGCGGGATTGTAGTGGATCACTGTTTGGTAACTGAACAGTGACGTTGAGATGAAGACTTAGTAGGAGGTGGTGGGTAAGGGGCATTTCACTACAGAAAGTTACACTGAGAGGCCTTTGTGCTTACGCTTAAGCTTATGTTTCAGGTTTTCTCATGACTGACTTGGATAATAAAAGGTCTCCTTTATTGACTTGTAGTGCAATTTATTTAAAATGGTGCATGCATTTGTTTGTCTCTTTGTTTGTTCATGTATTTTTTAACATCAGAACTATTAGCAACCTCATTAATTGTTCATTATTCATTCATTGTTAAGCTAATGTTTCAACTTTTCTAATGTTTGAAACAAACAAGATCATCTCCCTGCTATCAATGATTGCATCACCAAAGTCAGTTTCACATAATCTACAGATATCCATTTGGTTTGTAGCAGGCCACCTGGAGCCCATTGTGGCTGCTTATAGACATGTGGCCATGTAGCAGGCCACATGTCATGCACAACTCAGACTGATACTCCAGCAGAGAAGGGGGCAGTAGTGTGCAGATAGAGACATACAATGGTTAGCTTATCTTTGCATTAGTTTCATGTTGTAATATCAATGGCCTCTGTTCACAATTTCACTACTTTCTGAACTTAAGGGAGCTAATCTGTTTCCTGTCTTTCATTACTGGATGAAGTGATGAATCCAGATATGTCTGGCCATTGTCGTCATGGTTTGTGATATCAGAAACACACCTAGATTAATTAGTTCATCCAGTTATGAGAGACAGGAAATATATGAGCTGCCTTAAGTTCAAAAAGTAGTGGAGTTGTGCATGGAGCCCATTGTGGCTGCTTATAGACATATCTTTCCTTTCAATATTTATATTGGTTTATTGTTTCCAGTAGTTAGCTGACAAGCCGGAGGGTGAACCCACAAAGCACTCAAAAACAACAAAAATAACTAATTCAGAAATAATGACACCAGGATTAAAACCCATGAAGTTATGCATCTAAAATCTGCAGAAATATATTGTTTGTTTAGGTAATAAGGCATGCTTCTAACAGAGATAAAACAGAGCTCATCTTTTTCTGTTTTTTATTTTTTATTTTGTAAAATCCAAGAGAAGCTTAAAGACTTCATTTTTGCTGATTTATTAAAGAATCTGTCTTCCCTTTTATGCCTTTATATAAACTTTTTAAAATCTGGTGTTCACAGGCATAAAGCACCACTGTTGTTTGTTAAGCTTTACAACACTGCCTCATAGTGGGTGTTTTTTGTAACTGCAAGTGAAATCTTGAACCAACACCAGAAGCAGCTTTTGATACTGTATTCTGTTTGAAACCACTAATAAGGAGCCATCACATTTTTTTCTCCCGAAAACAAATTTTCTTCTTAATTGATAAGTAGAGTTTTACTCTGATCTAAAAAACGTTGCTATGCAAGCACCTGCAGTCCAAGAAGGTTGCAAATTCCCACTTAAAACCCACTTCGGCTTCCTGAGCATTGCTTTTAACCCCAGCTTTTGTGATGCTCTAAGCTGCCCACTGCTTCCTAAATGAGGGGTTAAATGCAGTGATCAAATTTCTTTGAAATACACATTTGTGGAAATCAATTAGGATGCTTATCCTTTTAAAGATAGAGAAAAGTTTGTTTTGTCAACAGTAAAAATTGAATATTTAGGGACTTTGGACAGGGCCATTTGCTAAAAGGACAGTGGTTAATTCCTGAAGTTGTTATGTCAGGGTTTTTGAGCCTATACTGCAAATATCATATCTGATATCCTAATCAAAATAAAAAAAGTCGGTTAAAGATTCAAAGAATAAAAAAAATAAATAGCTTATTACAATTTTTAACTACACTATTGGAACAATTAATCAACTCGGAGTTTTCACTTCCCATTTTATTACTGCAAATTCTGCTGCTCTGTAACCAACTTGACTAAGGGCAAAAAAAGGTTTAATATCAAATCTTGACATTTTAGTGATTTCTGGGCTGGCAAATCATATCCTTACCTTACACCTTTCCTTTTAGTTTTTACGTTTTTTATTTTTTAGAACCAGTAAAAAAATTTTTTTTTTCGTTTATTTTGCCAGAGGGAAAAATAGGCCTGATAATTGAAAAATACATATAATTAATACAGGGTGTTAGTGTCCTTGGGCTTATAAAACATGTACTGTATACACATTAGCCTTTAAATGTCTCATGGTTGTTAAGTGTGCATAGATAATGAGGATACAGTCAAAACTATGGACAGTTTTTACTTTGAAACAAGGAAAAACATTTTTTGGACAGAGGGATTTTTTTTAAGCTGCAAAAATGCAGAGCTTGTCAGAATGGTTTTTACTATTCTTTACCCAAAGAGATGAAAATGTTTAATTATACCTCGCTGGAAGCTAAACTAAGTTGTTAAGAGGAGGTTTAAAAATGGGTTTTCAGACTTCAATCTGGTCTGCCCCCGTAACATGGCTAAATCAAATTATGTCTTTATAATTGGGATTCTGTAGAAGTTGACTGCATGCTAAGATATTCTGAAGTCTGACAGCACACAAATTTTTCAAACTGCTATTTTACTAGAGTTAATTACACAAAGGATCCATTATTGATTTCATAATAGTTGATTTAATTATTTTTGTAGCAGTAAAATTTGGGAGAGTAAAAAAAAAAAAAAAACTTTTTTGTCTCTTGCTTTTTTGTTGTTTGTTATTTAATTTGATAAACGTAATGTTCACAAACATCCCCATCAGCTATGTACTGTGTTCTATTGTTTTGTTCCTTTAGCTAAACTAAGATACGAATTGTCTCATGATTTATTAGGCAAAAGACTGTTTTAATCATTCAAACATTTTATGTTTTCTCATTAGAATGGAGTTTCTGTCCAGTAAATAACAGCTTTAAACAGCATCAGCATCAGCATTCTAACATTATATTTACAAGTGCTTTTATTTTTACCTGGATGACTCTCAGGGGTCTTTCTTGTGACAGTGTATTAAATGACTTATCAGGTTTGAAAAAAATGGGGATGATGATTGTGTCTAATTACTGTTTCATGCTTTTGTGACTTTTAGGTTTGATGACATTAAAATGTAAAACTATTTGCCATTTAAAGAAGATGCAGACTCCGCAGACAGCGCTGTGGCTCCGTTTAAACAAGATGTATTTCTGATCTTATTCAGTGAGGACAAATGTTTCACCAAGAATGTAAAAAGAATGAATAATGTATTCCAGATGTTTGGCTGAACTTTTATTATCTACAAATGTGCACCTTTAAAAATATAAAAAAGTGACAAAACTGAAGAAAAAAAGAGGAAGCAGGCTGAGAGGAAGAACAGATGATGAGGAGACAAACTGAGACAAAAAGCAGAGACAAGAAGCAGAGAAAAGGTCTTTTGTGCTCTGCTACATCTGTTGACTCATGACTCTGACCTGAGCTCATGGTGATTCCAGTTTCTGTCTACCAGTCTGAAAGAGATTAACTCCTACTGGATGGTCTCAGTGGACCTAAGAACAGAGAGGTGGCTTTCATGCTGTCTGTATGAGTTAACCAAGTTCCCAGAACATAAACACATTCCAGACATCATCATTACCCCTTTGCTACGGAGCTGATAGCCTACAGGGTTACTGAAAGACACACAGGCTGATCAGGCATCAGTGTGTGTTTCTCTACAGCCTTCTATTAGCAGAAGCATGTATTACACCTTCAACAGGTGTTTGCAGCCAAGTGGTTTATGATGGGGCAGGGCTGGAATGTCCCACCACAGCGCCAGCCATCAGGAATACAAAGGAGGGGATTCTGCAGGAATCCCTTTCCCCTTAAAGACTGTGTTTAGCACCAACAAATCAAATGAAGCAGAACAAAATAATATCTTCAAATGATGCACTACTATACGATTATCAGGAAGAGAGATAAAGTACCCTTTGTATGTTTACCAGTCTACTTTAATGATAATATTATACCATCAGTAAAGCAAGATATTTAGAGTATTTAGATAAAAACTGCTTTAGTAAAACTGAAACAGAACTTGTAAATTTAAGTTTCAGGTAAAAACTAAAGGACTCTATTTAAGACGTACAGAAGATTGGCTCCAAAGTTCAGCAGTTGTTAATTCATTTGACCCACAGAAAGAAATACCTGAACAGGAAGCCAGCATGTGTGTCTTTTTGTGTGGAATTTTCTGAGTTTTCTGTTGCTACTTCAGGCAAATCCCAGACCAATTATGTTGGGTCGACTGTCCATTGTTAATTAGCCTTAGGTGTGCATGTCTGTGCTCCATTCTATGTACCGTACTGTATCTCCATGATGGGAGGATGACAAGTCTGATGACTAGGCAGGTATTAAAAAAGTGTATGGATGAATATATATATATTTTTGCATGTAATATAAAATAAAAAATTGGAAGTATGCTCAACATTGACCTTTAGAAAATCAAAACTACCTAGAAAAAAAAAATATATTTTTCCCTTTGATGAATAATAGCTTGATTTTCATCTAATGTTGACCATATCAGCTTTAAAGTTAGGTCCTGCAGACAGTCCCAGCTTTATTCTTACACACCTAAAAAGGAAGCCAAACAGTGGCAGAAAAAAAGTTCTATTTGACTATTTTCCCAGTTAACTTTGATTTTTTTTTGCTGTGAGGTCAATGTTAGAGTTATTAACAAAGACTTAGCCTTTATGAGATTGATCATCTTTTTTTGTTATCTCTTTAAAGTAACTATGATTACTTATTAATCCCAACATTGACACTAGATTTAATCCAGCTCTTCTGTTTGAATTCTTTCCGCTTGGTCTTCCGCTTCCTTCAAAATATCCACTTAAACTTGTCTCAGTTCTGTATCTTTCTCTCTGATTTACATCTGGCTGACCCTCCATGTTTCATCCTTACAGTTTATCCATCTCCAGTGGAGCCAAGTAGAGCAGCGGGTGAACGTTCTGGAAACTCGTGATAATCAGAGTGAAAATGGGAAACCTTAGAGCATTGAGCTGCTTCATTCTTTTGATCCTCGTGGTTTTCACCACAGCAAGACCAAAATCAGGTCAGTGTTCTTTTTCTGGATCTATTTACTGAGTTTCATTAGCACAATATTGTCTTTTAATTTTCTGACAAATATGTGACTCACAATACAGTCAATGATTGTTTACAGAAAAATGTCAATCATGAACTACTTTTAAAGTAAATTTTAAATAATGTGTAGGTTTTGGTTTAATTCATATTCCATCTGCAGATGATTTCATGGACAGAGAAAAGACTCACAGATGTGCTTAAACATGAATATTCCTCATGTCTGTTTGTAACTAAAGATGGATTCAAAGACACTTTCATACGCCTTCTTCCACTGACTGTATCTGTCTGGGCTGAAACTGTGGGTGTGCATTAATCAAGATGTCCCTTTCAGCTTAAAATCAGATGTTTAAACTCACACGCATTCATGGCTACAGTCTATTCTAACCATAATGAGCATTCAGGGGCAGTCCTCATGTTTCTGCCTTTCTGAAAATACAGTAGTCTATTGTATCATGAATAGGTGAAGTTATTCTATATGTTTTTATCATTTTTCATTTTATTACAACCTCGTTCAAACAGTGTGGAATCAAGATTAGTCTGAGTATAGCTCTTAAATTATATATGAATAACATTCCATATAGGAGCTTTTTAAATAATCATTTCAGAGCAATGTGAGCACTATCACAATTCTTAACAAGTAAAGTCTTTATCTCTCAAAAGCAAACTGCAAATAAATATTTACCACAGTCTAAAAATGTTATATTTGTTCTTTGGTTAAAAGATGTTAAACTGTGTGATACTAAATCCTTCCAGGCAGGATGTCCTGCATGCTGAAGACAGGTCTTTCCTTAGACACACCTGAATTATATAATGAGGTTATTAGCAGGAATCTGATTAACTTAACTGCATGTGAATCATGTGTAACTATATCAATAAATTGATGGTGGACGAATATTTATTTATCTATTTTTTACCCCGACTCACATACTCTTCTACAAAGCTGAGTTTTAATAGGAACTTGCTACAATGCAAATGTCATTAATTTGAGATACATAAGAAAGCTGATCTAACTCCTAAATGACCTGTAAAATCCAACTGACTTGTTCAATTCAGTAAATTTTTATGTCTATATCACCTATTCACAACACGTGTCATCTCAAGGCACTTTACAGAGACAACTCAACCAGATCATACCGTCAAATTGATTCAAAGTTTTCTATCTAAAACCAGTTGATTGCATTGACTCATTAACCGGATAGCAATCCCTAACAAAAAGCATGCATGCAGTGACAGTAGAGAGGAACAACTCCCAGTCTCAGTGTGTGCAGCAATCTGCCAAGTAGGGTTCAAGGAGACAGAAGCAGAGATACAAAAGGCAACGGTCAATAAGCTCCACACGGAACACACAGCCAGGTTGATGGGAGAGAAAGATGCTTTGGAAATGAAAGGGTTAGATTTACATTTGTCTACCTTGGATAATCGTGGTAGCATTCTTTTTTCTTGGACTATATTTTTTATTTAATTTTTTTTAAAGAAAGGATCCATTTCTTTTTAACTACCCTCTTTAACAGCCTTTATTAACTTATCTTTTAGGTCCAGATCAGAAATGTAAGTCTGGTCCTGTGGATCTGGTCTTCCTTATTGACAGCTCCCGCAGCGTAAGACCACATGAGTTTGAGACCATGCGGAAGTTCATGATCGACATCCTGAATACCCTGGACATTGGACTCGACAGCACAAGAGTGGGAGTCGTTCAGTACTCCAGCCAGGTACTGTATGCACTGTATCATCCAAAACCTTTTGGGGTTGATTTTTTCATAGGTATCAGTATTCTGTTTGCTTAGATTCCTGAATTAGCAAATTTTTCTTATAAAGAATGGTTGAAATTATTTTGTCAATTTTGTCAATAATCAATAATCATCTCCTGTTTGCTCAGGTGCGCAATGAGTTCTCCCTGAAGACCCACAGCAAGCTGGAGAACATGGTGAAAGCCATCAATGAGATTGTTCCACTAGCTCAAGGCACCATGACAGGCCTCGCCATCAGATATTTGATGAACGAAGCTTTCAGTCCCGGGCAGGGAGACAGACCAAAGGTAAATATGACACAACTTTCTGTCCTCAGTTAAAGTGGGCCTATTTTATTTGGTTGAATTCTTTCTCAACCATCTTTGATATTGCATTTTAGCCAACTTTCCTGGTATTGTTATTTTTTTGCCAATAAAAGTCGTTAAAATGTTATTCAGATGTTATCCATGGCTTCAAAAGAGAACCTGCTTTTTGGTAGTTTATGCACTTATTGTTTAGCACCTTAAACATCCTGCTTTACAGCTGAAATGTTATGATTTTCTTCCTGGCTAGGTGTCCAACGTGGCAGTGATTGTGACAGATGGACGTCCTCAGGACCGTGTGGCAGAGGTGGCAACTGAGGCAAGAGAAAAAGGCATTGAGATCTATGCTGTGGGAGTAGCAAGAGCCGATATGACATCACTAAGAGCCATGGCCTCCCCACCCTTTGAAGACCATGTCTTCCTGGTTGAAAGGTTTGACCTCATCCACCAGTTTGGACTACAGTTCCAAGACAAGCTCTGTGGTGAGACTGCTGAACAGAAACCATCTCACAACTGTTTACAGTACAATTACTTTTGATGTTAACATTTGAAAACATATTTCTAAACACAAATTACATGCTATTTAAGTAAAAGAGTTTTAGCTATTTTCATTAATCTTTACAAGAAAATCTGTGTTGTGTTGCCTAAAACGTTTCGAGAATTTCATTAGGTAGCCTAAACTACCCTGTGAATAAAAACATTTAAAAAAATAAAAACAAAAATTCCTTATTTCTATAGGAATGGGAAACTCTGACTCAGGACAATTTTAAATATGTTCTTGAGCTCTTAAATCACCAGTATTTTGGAAAGTTCATCTTTCTGGATTTGAGATCATGTTTTAATAAAAGTCCCATTTAAACCTTCACATTTATTGAATAAATGGATTACTAGTTCATGAAGTCATGTTCACAGTGCATAGGGGACCCGGTATTCTGAAATGTCATGCTGCTGGCTTTTATTGGGCCAAACTAACTTTCTTTGTGGAATCGAAAATAAATAATGTTTATCCTGAAGGTTAAGAAAATCCCCATCTCACTGCTAAAATGTTTTATAGATTTCATACCAGACTTTCCAAATCCCTTTAGTCTGAGGTATTTTGCACAAACAGGAGCTATACTGAACTGAACTGTGACTCTAAAAATACAGGTGGCAAGTTTGTTAGAATATACTTTCATGTAAAGATAGATAGTGTAATATATTTGCGGAAATTAAAAGATGGGACAACTTTGGTCAAGAACTTAAAACTAAAATTACATCTTAATTTACCTGCAAAAAAAATATGACAGTGTTGTTTTATCAGCTTTGCTCCAAAAGGGTCAAATTATCATTACCGCACCTTAGTAAAAAAGCATCAGAATAGATTTTAATGCCACCACCATGTTTTATGATTTAGAGTTATGAGTAGTAGCAGTTTTCTAATGTTACATGTAGAGTGAGTTTTTCTCATTTGAACCGAAGCTTCTCCTTTAGGTTTTCTGTGTAGCTTTTAACTTCTGATAAACTAAATACAGTTGTTTCCATGTCATATTTCAACCACATCTGTCTTCATGCTACCTTTTCCTAAATTTCCCCTTAAAATATTCTCCAAATGTGACCCTTATGTGTTTCTTTATATTAATGCTCAACTTACAAGACCTCACAGTTTAGGAGAACTTTTAATATCTTGTTGGGAGTGATAGGAATGAAACGCTAAATATATTGCTGATGTTATATAAGTTGTACATCCTTTAAGTTTTTTTACTTTATTCTTGAACTTTCTGGTGTATTCATTACTCTGCATTATCTTGTTTATTCCTTAATGCCTTTTTAACAAATGTTATTAAGATAAAGGAGCATGAATACAGTTTTACAGAATGTCAGACTTTTTATTTGTCCAGATTTGCTGCTCATTGTGAAAATCTATGACATAAAATCCCATAAAAAATTACAGTTGTGGTTTTCACATTACTAACTACAATAATATTTCAGTTTTGTTGCATGAAAGCTAAATTTGTTTTGAAATGTGCTGCAGGTATTGATCTGTGTTCTGAGTCTGAGCACGGCTGCGAACATCTCTGTGAAAGCACGCCAGGATCCTACATCTGCCACTGCTTGCCTGGATACAGACTTAATGCTGATGGGAAAACATGCTCTGGTAAAGATATTACCAAGATTTAAATTGAGTTTACAAATCAAGGCGGACTATTTATTCCGGATTATCCCTTAAAAATCATAAATTAATAATTATAATTATCTGCAAAGTCTTTAGGAAACATATTCATATGTTTTTTTATTGCGTAGATTGTGCAGACATCCCCAGTAAAACGTGGTAAATGAGAAACATGCATGATATTTTTTATTATAATAGAAAAGTAGAGAGCTAATTACGATTTATACATATGATTCTATATAATTTTTTTCTCCGTTTTTCTCAGCCATCGACCTGTGTGCAGAGGGAAAGCACGACTGCCAACAGATCTGCATCAGCTCACCTGGTTCCTTCACCTGTGATTGCAACCGAGGCCACCAGCTGAATGATGATGAGAAGACGTGCTCACGTTAGTCTCACACACCCTTATAACTGTTTATATGTTCCATTGTGACACATACAATTAAACTGCTGCTATCTTTTCATATTAATCAAAATGTTATTTGCATGAATTCATGTTGAACAGATTTTTATTCAAATGGAAATTAGTTTTTCTAAGTTTTACTTAAAGCTGTTTGGCTCAGCTGAATAGTTTTCATGTCTGATGCTGTATGTAATCGGAACCATAAACAGTTTTTTAGCTCTATGGCTGCCATTAGTTGGATATAAATAGAAGCAGTAGGAATTCGATTAAGGCAGTATATCTGGAAATTTAGATAATATTCAGAATATAATTGTTTAAAAAAGTTATGTCAGATCAGACTACTTGGTTTATATGTATATAGTCTATATTTAGTTATGAGTCCTTTTCATTATGCCAGTAGAATATATTTTAGCCATTTGCTACACAAATATCCATGTGTGACATTTGTTACAAAGCTTTGATTCAGAGATTATTTTTTATAATTAGTTTATGAAAAGTGAAATATATTAAGATAAATATCATATTTATCGCCATTCAGCCTAAAATAATCAAGATATTATTAATGGGTCAAATCACCCCGACCTTGTAGGAGTAGAGTTTGTAAACCCAACATGTTTTTTTCTTTTTTTGCTGTGACTTCAAATGGGTTTAAATTTCCCAGTCACACTGAAATGTACATTTTTTGGCTGACTTCATGCAAATCACAAAGCTTTGCTGAATTTCTTTTGCTTCACACTAAAACTAGATGCAAACTTACCAAACCATTTTGCCAGGCTGTAGCTTCGCTTGCCCTGTCTCTTTTTTCATTCAGTGAGAATGGTCAAAGGATGGCCTTTAACATTTCACTGCCATCATTTTTTCAAAGGCATTTGTTGGTGTTCTTCATGAATTTCTATTGCTTCACCAAGTGTATATACAGTAAAACATTAACAAAGGCAAATATCATAAAACATTATGGTGTTTACATTATATTACTTATCATTTTGGATTAACAACATACATCTTAGAGAAGGAAAATTATCAGAATCGCAATGCATATAATCCCATACATGTCTGTAACATCCTTCCACAAAAAATGATTACAGTACTTGTGAAAATATTTATTTTCTTTAGAAGTAGCTTACCTTTTAAATCTGCCTAAAAACAATACAACATAAAAACAATGGCAGCCAGTATCATGAGAACGTTGAAACAACCATAAAACCCAGGCTTATGCAGAGGTTAGTATGTTTGCACAGCCACTCATTACAGTTGCAGTGAGGCAAGCAACACCTGGAGCTGATGATCGCGTGAACAAAAAATTAAGACGCTTTTAGACCTTTAGGTAAAGTCAGACCCACCACTCTGTTTTTAAGTCATGCAGATCTTCAAAGTCTGAGAACTGTGTGATTGCTGCTAACAGAAAAATGTGTTTTAATGACAGATTGTCAGCTATTGTGATTTATAACAACAGGAGAACAGGGACAACTTAGAGGTTGCTGCTGATTGCATATGTGAAACCGATTATTATATTTCTCTCATCATGTTGTAAAAGTGTTCTCACAGTGTTCTTTCAGGAAAAAAAGATGTTTCATCTGTACACATCAGATTTAACATAATGGATGTATGTAATTTAGCTATTGACCTGTGCGCTGAGGGAAAACATGACTGTCAACAAGTGTGTGTCTACATGGGCCCGGGTTTCTTCACCTGCGACTGCAACGAGGGATACAGACTCAATGAGGATGAGAAGAGCTGTGCACGTTAGTCAAACCTTATAAAAAATATTACAGGAAAGGATCTAATTTTTACCCACTTTCATCACTTTCTCTGTGAAAAAGATGCATAGCCTTTTTTCTTAATGTCCAATTACAAGGAATTTACTACATATTGTTTGAGCTTTCTTCAATCTCAGAAGTGCACATAAATTTCATCTCATTGGTGCTTTTTAACTTGAATTTGAAACGGTGTGACTTTGGTTAAACATTCAGAGTATCTTTCTACAATTGTATGTGAATAGTTTTCTGCAAAGTTTTTATACCCTTTGAGGCAGAATTGTATGGGACTGAGATCAGTTATTTCTGATGGACACTCCAACAAACTAATTTTCTAGACCTTAAGCCATTTTGTAACTAGTTTATAGGTATGATCAAGACAATGGTCTCCATTCAGAAGATGTGAGCCCAAGCTTTAACATGTTCCCTAATGTATTGAGGTGTTGCCTTTGAAAATACCCCCTCAGCTTGTTATATATTTTGAAAAACGGAAATCTTTATACTAGCTACTAGGAGTTTATAGACAATTTTAACCTATAAACCCCCGAGATACATAAACCATGTTCTCTTACACGATATGGTGGCCAGACGTCTCGTGTTGTTTATAGTATTTCCATCCATCCATCATCCATTTTCCATCACGCTTATCCCAAGCGCGATCGCGAGGGGTGCTGGTGCCTTTCTCCAGCTGTTTATGGGCGAGAGGCGGGGTACACCCTGGACAAGTCGCTAGTCCATTGCAGGGCTTGTTTATATATGAAGTATTTTTTATAGATGAATGCACCACTTCCAAATGTCTAGAAATTGTAACCAAGAAAAACAAAACTTGTGGAGTTTCAGATTCTGCCTTTCAGTATTTTACAAACAGGACTTGCATGCAGAGACCATTTAAAGGGCAGGGACGGAAATAAAAAAAGGGCTTCCTCACTGCTATTGAGGGCACTTAAGCATGCATTGTTCAACAATTGGGCCAAAAGCGTAGGGGAACCTGCATGCCACTGCCTACTGTACCATTCATTGATGTACCTCCTTTAATTTCAATGTTGTTGATAGACTAATGGAATGATTGCCATAATCATATTTTCTTTACAAAATTGCTTAAAGCTATAGCAGTCTTATAAACTTCTGAAATTGAAGAAAGCACTAATTTCAAAAAAAATATTTCATATTTCTTTTATATCTTTCTGCTATTTAGTTTGCAAACAGAAATGTAAAAGTTTAGTTTTTAACTCTATTTGTTGGTACCTGCTTCCACATTTTAATGCATGAGTACAGCTGATGTTCATCATTGTTTTAAGATACATCTCCATTACATGACATTAGGAACATATAGAATGATCAAATATTAATTAGTACTACTCTTTAACCAAGACCCAGATATGTTAATCATATGCATAATGTATGCATGAAGCTGCAATTAATATTTTTAGACAGCAGATCCCTAAGTAATTTCTAAAGTTTTTTTTGGGAAACCAATACGTCTAACTAAAAAAATGTTTACAATTTAGCCATTGACCTGTGTGCTGAGGGAAAACATGACTGCGAACAAGTCTGTGTCAACATGGGCCCTGGCATCTTCACCTGTGACTGCAATGAAGGATACAGACTCAACGTGGACGAGAAGACCTGCTCACGTTAGTTCGCCCCTCACAAAAATCCACACATGTTGAGGCTTATATAGACAAATGTCCATTTAGATTTTACAAAAACCTCTGCCCTTTTTTCATTTTTATTTTGTTTAACCTAAACTTTCGGCCACTGAAAACCTGTCATATATCCCTACAATTGTGAAAATTTTAGTCAGAAATCATTGAAAAAAAAATCACATTTATTAATTTTTTATGCAAATTTTAACAACATTTTCAATTTTATTTTAATGTCAGCATATTTTCATATCAACTGATTGGTCCAAATATTTGGTAGAAATTCTACCATCTAATTTTGAAATTCTACCATCTAATTTTGACTAATTTTTCTGCCATCTTCATCACTTGCATTTAACATTTTCTCAGAAACAAAGCCAGCTCTCTGCTTAGACATTAATAATGACTAAAGTCTTTAAGTTAACCCAAACAAAATAAAAATAATTAGTTTTTTACATCTGTTTAAAACAGCGATTTTTTTAAAAGAAGGTTTGAAGTCAAAATATGAAAACCTTTTTTATACCCAGTAATCCATGATTTTTAAAGGTACAGTTGACAAAAGAAACGCAAATGTAATTGACTAAATGTTTGTAATTTAGCCATTGACCTGTGTGCTGAGGGAAAACATGGCTGTGAACAAGTGTGTGTCTACTCGGGCCCGGGCGTCTTCACCTGCGACTGCAACAAGGGATACAGACTCAACCTGGATGAGAAGACCTGCTCACGTTAGTCGGACCAAATATTCTGATACAATTTGGTTTATTTATCCAGCAAATAATTTAATAGTTAAAATAAGTGCTTTTGTTTTTACACGGTCTTTAATATAAAAATAAAAAAGGGATGAGCCGAGCTGGAAAAGCTGTCTGTGAAAGAGTATATTTCTGCCATTTTCATATGATTTAAGGAGCAAAATAGAAGCCGGTTCTTGCCGATTCCTGATGAGTTAATTATTAGCAGGTTAGATCCTCTCAATACTGACAGTGATTTTTTTTTAATTTTCTGGTATAAATAAAAAATAATTTCATTCAAATGCGAACATTTTTAAAACAGTTGCCAGTCTTTGTTTCATAGGTTTATGTTCATCTAATCTGATCCTAAGGTGAAACTCAGAAATCTTTATCTCAATAGGACTCAGTAACATGAAATATTAAAGGCAATTGCAAAAAGTTGTAAAAGGCTGAGCAAATATGGATTGTTTGGAAGAGTTAAAAGATAAAGCCTATTCAATCTCTTAGAGAAATGGCAGCATAAAGTGGTTATTTTTATAAATTCAAACATGTAAGACCAACTCATTTCAGCTTGTGGCACTCTCCTGGGTCTCTTCAGGGTCCTGAAGAGGGCCACAAGCAGAAATTCGTTGGTTCCAAATAAAGTGTGTCCCTGCACTTCAAGAGTCTCTTTATAGACCTTGGAAGTTGGTGAAGTTGTACTACAAATTATGGATCTCTAAAATGTAGAAATTTTTGGCCATAACCAATCATGCCATGTTTGGAGAAAACCATACATAAGTATATATGAAAAATAAACACCACATCAGCTTTCAAGCATAGTGAAGGTGTTACACTGGCCCAACACCGGCTTATGAAAGACATTTTTTTATGACTATGTACATTAAGTTGTTCACGTTAAAAGTCAGTCTTAGGTTGTACTCACAGTAGGATTCACACACAGCTTTTCTAGTTTGCTTTTATCTGTTTAGTTAATGATGGCAGTATAGTGTATCCTGATTCAGAATACTTGGTTTTAATTTAAAATAATTTAAGAACCCAGTTAAAATCAGGTTCATGTAAAACACTAGAATTTAAGTGTTCTTTTTTCCCAGTACAGTAAATGCTTGAACAATTTTATAAGTTACAAGATGAAGGTAAAAGGCAGCAAGTTATATATTTCTTTGTTTAAAGTGATGTATTCAAAAGGGTCTAAGACCAACACATTTAACTCAATGTCTATAATTTAGCTATTGACCTGTGTGCTGAGGGAAAACATGGCTGTGAACAAGTGTGTGTCTACATGGGCCCGGGGGTCTTCACCTGCGAGTGCAACGAGGGATACAGACTCAATGAGGACGAGAAGACCTGCTCACGTTAGTGCAGTTCCCACAAATATACAGACGTATACAGACATTAGTGGAGTTATACAAATACAAAGGATTATCTTTTTTGTTTATAAGTGACAACGAGGCAGCAGATACTGTACTTTTCCTCTCAATCTCCTTTAGTAGATTTTAAAATATCTGCTTTTGCCAAGACTTTATATTTGAGTATAAGCACTGCAATGTTGGTCAGGAAATATTTGTCACCTGTGTCATGTCTTACTGTATGCCTGCTGCTATTTTTACTAGTGTTACACGTTTCAGTCTACAAGCTTCCAATACAAATTAGGGGTTATCTTCCACCTCATGTTACCTGAGAACTACTGTATGTACCTGCTGCACTAGCACACCTAAACTACTGAAACTGAATCAGTTGCCAACGTACGGTAATAGAAAATTAACAGCTTGATTTATCTTTCCATGAGGAAAATTATTATTCATTATTTTGGAAAATATATTTAATTCATACAGAAGTGGTCTAGATCTATTCATTAATCAGATTGGCGTATTTAATAAATCTTAAATGACATGGTTAATGTTAAAAGCATGATTTCACAGAACATTACTTTGGATGGAGCAGCCACCAATATGCACAGTAATTCTTTTAGCAGATGACTTTTATCAAGATTAAAAAACACCAAGGCCTAAAGAGTATAACTTAACTTTGCATCATTAAACAGATTTGTGGGAATAGCTTCTTGCTTATCAGCATAACTATGTTATTAAATGATTAACAACATGAGTTAAGAAATGAGCAATGAGAAACATTGTCTACCTTGTTAAAATTACAGTAAATATTACCAAGGAATGCATGTGTTTGAACAGTGGTTAATGCTAAACAAGTTTAACTCACTGAATATGTGTAATTTAGCAATTGACCTGTGCGCTGAGGGAAAAGATGGCTGTGAACAAGTGTGTGTCTACATGGGCCCGGGCGTCTTCAGATGTGAATGCACCGACGGATACAGACTCAACGTGGATGAGAAGACCTGCTCACGTTAGTCGGGCTGTCACAAAAATACACACATATACATACAGATATACACATATGTAATGATTTACTGATTATTCTCTTTTCTGATTTTGTTTTACAACAAGGTTGTCAGTCTTCCCCTTTTGTTATTTTTTTTTCTTTTTAAAGAGTATCTGTAACTGCTTCTGATATTTCAGTTTTTAGGGATCATATTATCTGAAAACATGTTTTATCTAGCCATCATTAACAATTATTACTTTAAAACTCTATCGGACAAAAAAACAGGACCCATTTTGTTCAAATCAGCTAGGTGCTGATAATGTAAGATACCTTTTAAAAAGTTACATTTAAAAAAAAGTATTTCTTTTATCTATAACTAAGGAAAAGACGAACTGTTAAATTTGTCTTTGCAAAACGGTTATATGCAACATCAGTTATGGAAGTTACTTTTTTCAAATTATATCCCATAGCTTTACCTGATGCAAACACAGACCTGGTGAGACAAAATAATTAGGCTTATCAAACTTACGTCAGTTTTTCAGAATCAGAAATGCTTTGCGGCTAAGTAGTGTTTTTACAATGCAAGGAATTTGTTTTGATGATGAGGTGCTAAAAATAGACCAGCAAACATCCAGTTAACATATATAACTATGGCGGTAGAAAAATGTAGAATAAACAAATGCATGTGGATATATGCATGTGTTAAGATGTTTATTGTTTTTATGAACACCAATGTGAAAAGTGTTAGTGAGGGACCTGGGCCAGTTTAGCAGATTGGAAAGGCTGCTTTTGTAACAAGACAATGTGGTCTTGATGGACCGCAGCCTTCTGCCAGTTGGAAGGTTCCGTTTTTGTTCAGGGTGGGAAGGTTTACCTGCAATTTTACCTGCTCTCCTCTGGATTCTGGAAGTGATCTGTTCTTGAATAGAAGGACTCAGTGACGGTGGAGTAAATGTGTGCTATGATTGACACATGTGGCTGAACTTCTTTCATTGCCGCAGGAGGTAGATCCTCTGCTGTGCTTTTTTGGTGAGGGTATATTCAGCTCCCACTGGAGGTCTTGTTTGCACCGAGGAAGCAGAAGGACTTCACAGTGGTAGCTTGAGAGACACATAGGATGATTTTGGGGGGGGTGGGGTCCTATGTCCATGACCATCTCCTCCCGTAGTCCTGCAAATGCACTCCAGAATGTTCTGGCTGCACCGGTTGATCAATCTGCCACCTGTTGGAAGACTCTTCCCCCTTAGAGAGAAGTCTATAATGGTTTATTGTAAATGGTTGTGGCATCTGCAAACAGATGGGCCAAAGGGAAAGTGTACAGGCTTGAGGGTAAACAGTGGTGCTTGTCCTGCAGTGAAAGACCTGTTTTCACAGCTTCATGTGCTGCTTTCCTTCTGTAAGGGAGTCTGTGATCCACCTGCAGGTGCAATAAGGCACACTCAGCTGGAGGAGTTTTTTTCTTTAGCAGGACTAGAACTATAGTACTGAAAATGGAGCTAAAGTCCACAAACAGGATTCTGGCTTAGGTTACTGCAGAGTCCAGGTGCTGCGGAATGTAGTGAAGAGTCATATTTACTGGATCATCTACAGACATGTTGGCTCTGTAGATGAACTGTGCATTTGGTCCAAAGGTGGGTTTGTGGTGGACTTAAGGTAGGTCACCTTAAGGTGCTCACAGGACTTACAATTACCACAGATGTATTGTAAGAGGGACAGGTTTGTACTTTACAGTTATTTAGTTCTGCGATCCTTGGTATTTTGCAAACTAGGATGATGGTGACGGCTGTGAGGCACATGACAGATTGGCATGTCTCTGACAAGGTGTTAAACACACCTGTGAACACCAGAGACAGCCATTTAGTGCAGTGTTTCAGGATGGATGTGTAAACACAGTCTAGTCCGGGAGCTTTACATAGTTCAAGACCTGATTCAAATAGTTGTTTTTTTTCTTCTTCAGATTTGCTCAGGCTCTGCAGAAAATCAAGTAATGACATTCTTTTATGAACCATCAGCTGTAGGTAACATTTATAACAGGTAGTTGACCCAGGATAATGAATGAGGGCCACTGGCTTAACTCATCAATACCCTGACCCAGTGTGCTAAAACAGAATGAGCTGTGGGTAAAAAGACAATGGTGTCAGACCTCCATTTTGGAGCTGGGCTTTATATTTCTGTTAATATTCTAAAAACAGTTTAGAATTTTTCATCTTGATAAAAAATGTTTTACACTACTAACTCTATAGCTCTGTTTGTTCTCCTACCATTTGCTTGGAGCAAACCACGCAGCACTTACAAAAAACACTTAACAAGCCCTTCGTATGCTTTGTTAAAGTTATAATTTTGTTGTTAGTTTTGCTAACCCTTTACTGGTTGGTTAACGGCATTGACTTTACATAAACTGACATTGCACTAAAATACTCATGCCATTTTTTGAATGCCCTTTTACATTATTTTTTGGGGTGAAAAAAAATCATTTTATATGTAGCAATGTTAATGTATTCAAACTATTTAGTTTTTTTATATGAACCAAACAAGGATTTAACTAATTAAATGTCTATAATTTAGCTATTGACCTGTGCACTGAGGGAAAGCATGGCTGTGAACAAGTGTGTGTCTACGTGGGCCCTGGCATCTTCACCTGCGAGTGCAACGAGGGATACAGACTCAATGTGGACGAGAAGACCTGCTCACGTTAGTCGAGCATTCACAAAAGCTCTCACATACACAGTCACCTGTTTTCTTTTTTCGGAAGTCATTATCAGTGTTTTTCTAAAAACCTTAGCTGAAAAAGAAAACTCCCAGGATAAAATTAGGCACATGATAGAAACATGGCAAACACATCTATAATATAGAACCCAGTTGTTAAGTGAAATCCCTTGATCTACAAACCTATTTAACATATTTAAGTAATTAATCTGGTAGATAAATTACTTAAATAGACAAATGCCTGCAAATAAAATAAGCAGACTTTAAGCAGGAAAACTATATTTCCGAATGTGCATTTATTAATCAAGGAAATGTTTTCCAAATGTAAACATAAGCTTAATTCTGTCATCTTGGTTGAAAACTCTTCAAATCACTAATTTTAGAGTTTTATTCTCCCTTCTCCCTTCTTTTTTTTAGAATTCACAATTTATTGCATAAGCAAAGCCTAAGAAAAACGCTTGATTTTCCCTGCTTTCTTCATAATATGTTTTTTCTACTAAATAAATCACTGTTATTTCACTGTTGTTTTATACCTTAATAGCCATTTAAGTAATGTGAGAAAAGTTTTGAAATAATGGACTAAAACTTATCTTGTCTAATTTTAGCCATCGACCTCTGTGCTGAGGGAAAACATGACTGTGAGCAGGTCTGTGTGAACATGGGGCCGGGCATCTTCACCTGCGACTGCAACAAAGGATACAGACTCAATGAGGATGAGAAGAGTTGCTCAGGTGTGCATGGTGCTCACAAACATACACAAGTATATGGAAGCCATGAAGCCAGTAATTCAAAGTTCTGTATCTAAGTGACAGAAGAGTGTATCTTTGTCTTTAACCATTCCTGTCTCTTTTTGTAAAATATGAAATATCTGTCATAATCAGATTCAAACGAATATTACCAGTACTTATGAGGGACTGTTACCATTGCACAACCTTTAGAAAAATGGTTAAAAAGTATTTGTTATGTGCTCATCAATGCATATTTTATTAATTTTTAGACAGTCAACTATACAGGGGCCTTTTCAGAATAGTGCAGATAGTAGTTCCTACATGTTTTTCTTGGCTCATATTGCTGCACCGTTTGCATGTTCAACAGTAAATACCCTACTCTGAGTAGAACAGGAACTCTGGACTTCTATAGTATGTGGAATCCTGACATCCTTAGTTCTTTTTTTACAAGATGTAAGCACACATGCAGCCTTCTGCAAGGTCACTGCGAAGAACAAAAGTCACACAAATGTAGTGAATGACTTAAGCTCACCAATACAAAAACCTCAAACATACAGTAGTAGCCATTCAAAATTTCCCCACTTTGTTTTTATGGGCCCTTGGCTGGTCCTTTGCTTGTTCCCTACAATTCCTTTTTAAACATCAATCTTTCTACTAAAATATTCTTTCTGTCATGATTTGTGGACATTAAGATCTATATGTAAACAGAAGCTTCATCTCCTGCTCTGACCCTGTAATTCAGTGAAAGGGTAGAGTCAGAGTAAAAAATATGCACGCCAAGGAGAAGGCCAGTGGCTGGAAGTTGGAGGGTATTTTACTGGGAGTCGTAGGGGAGTAAGCTGCCAATTGGCTGGCGTTTAACTGGGAAGGGCGATTTGGAATGGCTGCTATTGCATGAAGCTCTGTCCATTTGCATGTTTTCTACAGAGCGCCTGTGAAGAAATAATGTATTATTATTATTATTATTAAGGCCAAATGCACGTTTATTTTATTATTTTGTGTTTTAAACTTCCTCTACTGTTATAATATAAATGATAAGGGTTCTCAAACTCTGACAGTTTCAGATCAGGAAAGTGGAACCAGGTGCTGATTAAAGAATGTTTACTTTGGAAGTTAAACAATTTTCCCAGATTTTAAAGTAATTAAAGTTTCCTAAGGAGATATTACTGCACTACTGATGGAACTTCCTTTAAATGTAGTACTGCTGGAGGAGAATCTCAGCTGATGGTCTGAGATTTTCTCCAGATATTCATACTGCTCAGTTAGCTCCACTTTATTCTTGTTGCTGATGCTGGTAATCTTAAGTCTGGGCACTCTGCTTCCTTGGAGAAGATCTTCACCATGTCCTTAGTTCTCCAAGGTTATGACAGAGGCATGACCTTCTTGTCAGTGTACCTCACCAAACAATATTTGGGCTGCATAAATTTATTCATCCATGTATAGTAGGATTAGGAAAAGTACAAATAGTTCTACAGTCAAGCTCTGAAATGACCTGAGCTTATCTCCAGAGATACAGTAATTATAAGCAAGAAGCATTCTAAACATGATTTTATGTAAGTCATACCAATACCAACATGCAAGGAAAGTGATATACTGACACATGAAAAATAAAAAATTTTGTAACACAGCTATTTGTCTTTGTTTTTAGCCATTGACCTATGTGCGGAAGGGAAGCATGACTGTGAGCAGATCTGTGTCAGTGCACCGGGCGTCTTCACATGTGACTGTAACAAAGGATTCAAACTCAACAGGGACAAAAGGACTTGCACAAGTCAGTGTCACCCTTTTTCAACACCTGTTTCTACAGTATAAATTTAAAATGAGTGGATCGCTAATATTTCTGTTCACTTATAGAATCAGTTACCGTTCTTGCTTTTTTTATGTTATACTGAGTAACAAGTTTGTAAGTGGGCTAATAAAACCTTTTAACAAGCCGAAAATTTAAAGAAAGTGAAACCTTAACTTAATCAAACCATGTTTCTTTTTCCTCTGTGTGTAACTGGAAAGAAAAATACAATAAAGCTCTAAGTTAAAGTTACACTTAGATTTGATTTGTATTATCACTGATTTATCTTGACCAGAAGTGACCTTAGTTGTGTACATTGTAGTGTAATTAAAAAGATCAGGGAAAGATCTCACACATCAGCCCTTTATAAAGCACTTCCACCTGACTGATATTTTTTTAATTACAGAGGGACAGGCCTTAATTCAATCAAAAAAATGTTAGAAGGGAAGGTTGACAATGAACACATGCAGTCATTTAAAAATTCATAAACATTAAATTAAATGAGTGCTGAATGTGAGAAACATACTGGTAAAGAAACATTGTTTTGAAATCAAAACTGATAATTGAAAAATGACTGGACAAAACATCAATCAGAGGTCATTTGAAAAAAGTATTCAATAATCACAATTTACTTTAATGTGATCAATATGATTTTCAGTTATTTAATACTGAAAAACAACAGTGTTCTCAAAAATCTAATTGGCAAAATGTTCTAAGTTTATACTTGTTATTTTCTGTTTTATTTGTCTCAGCAGTATTTGCCTTTACAAATAACACCTTAACACCCCTCTTTTGATTAATCTTTATAAATTTCATTTTATAGACATGGACATGTGCAACACAGTGAAGCATGGCTGTGAGTACCAGTGTGTTAACACCCCTGGATCCTACCACTGCATCTGCCCTGAAGGACAGCTACTCCAGGAGGATGGCAAAACTTGTGGCAGTAAGTTAAACTTTATAGAACAAATGTTTTACAGATAGGAAAACAGTTTATAAAACAAGGGACTTTTAGGGTACCCACTGAGATTGAGAGTTATTGAACAATAATAATTGAACTTTATTGATCTCACATTGGAGACATTTACCTCTGCATTTAACCCATCCCCTTGGGGAGCAGTAGGCTGCCACTCCCCAGGTGTGGGGAGTGGCGGCCTACTGGTTATGGATTGTTGTTCAGGACCAAAGTGCAGATGAACGCTTGCACCATGGTAAATTGATGAATTAACTAAAAGATACAACAGAACAGAAAGTTTGGCAAAGATACAAAACACAGCATCTATGATATATTAATGGTGCATTCCTATGAGGTAAATGAGTCCCAACAATGACAAAAACAATACTGTATATAGTTTTTGCACATGTACACAGCACTGAAACATATTGTCCTCTACACACAAGTTAACTCTGGATGACTGACTTAAGGCCACAAACATAACAAAGAAAAGCTACAAACGGTCAAAGTAGGAAAGTTTAACTACTGTTGATGTGGATAGCATCTATCACCAACTTCCCAATTTGTGATTGCAACTTGCAATCCAGATGTAACTGAATACTTGGAAGTTGAACATTTTGACTTTAAAGGATAAATGGAACCCATAAACACATCACAAAAAAGTAGTGCAGGGCACAAGTGCAGACAAAGGAGAAACATAGGTGAATTGAATTGATTAATTAGTGGATGCGTCTATGACTTTGTCGGCACGTTCGCGCTAACCCCTAAATGCCTCAGACACTATAAAGCAGGGACTATATATTGGACTTTATAGCAAACTCAGTTAACTTACTGTTTGGAGCTTTCTCTCCCCATTAGTCACATTACTCCGCCTACCTGCATGGTGCCTGGGAAATCGTTATTCTTTCTTGCTGCCACAACAAATCCAAAGATGCTTTGCAAAGAGAGCTCTCGCATCCACTAGACATTTGGGCCATCATCTTAAATGGCCTAAACTATATATAGTGCGCTATATAGTCATGAGGGTGGACGTTCGGACACAGCCTATGAGTCTCTGTGGGGAATTGACTGTCATCTTGAACTTCAATCTTCTTATAATTTTGCCAGCAGTTGTTGCCTCCTGACCAATCTCATTTCCTATTATACTGTGGCCCCATCCCAGCCATGTGCAGGTCTAGTATTTTATCCCTGATGTCCTTACAGCTCTCTAGTCTTTGCCATTGTGAAGAGTTTGAAGTTTGATTGAGTATGTGGATTGTGTCTTTTATGCAGTCAATCAGTTCAGACAGGTGCAGTTAAAGGTAATGAGGGGAGAACAGGAAGGCTTCTAACAGGCATAATATGCAAATTACTTAAAAATCCCTCAATGATTATTTCTGAATATTTGTTACTTACAGTTCTAGAGTACCTATCACACAAATGAATAACTTCTACAGGCTTTGTAAGTTGGAAAACCTGCTAAATGTATCAAATACTTGTTCTCCCCACAGTATCTGTTATCCAAACCAAGTCAACATGGCAGTTATAAGACCCAATATCTGATGACCGTATTCATGTTTTTTAACTTCCATTAGAGGAGATCATTGCAAAGCAACTGGTAGGCTTAAGTCCAAGGCAGTGCTGACATCTGGATCAAATCTTTTTATTGTGTTATGCATTTTTATTATAAATTAACATTGATAATAAATAAGGTACATATGATAGAACCCACTAATAAAGTTGAGGGAGTGTTGGCCTAGTGTGTTAGAGCAGTGCCCCTGTGCTCTGAGAAGGTTGCAAGTACCTGCTTTGATCCCCACATCCTCCACTCTGGGTTCCTGAGCAAAACCCTTAACCTCTGATTGCTCCCCGGGGACCATCCAATGGCAACCTACTGGGGGATGGGTCAAATGCAGAGAGTGAATTTCCCCATTGTGTGACAAAAAAGGGATTTACATTTTTTTATTATTATTATTACAGGCCGTTTTTATTATATAAGAGTGAGATTCTGTGACAAGTGCAGAGAAAAAAAGTTTTAGGATTTATTGTAAGAACCTGACTGAAAAACAGGGTGGTTAAATCCTGGAAATAAAATGGAGATAAATGAGGGGTTGGAGAAAATATCACACTGATGTGAAAAACAGCTTTGTTATGTCTGCAAAAATGGTCCAACTCTTAGGAGTATTATTTTCAAATTTTATTTCCCTGAAAGAAGAACGAGAAACAGAGGCTGGCCGTCTTTTGACCGCATAACCAAAACTGTCTTTAATCTTGAAAGGATTATTAAATGAAAAAACGTCCAGTGTAACATTGGAGTTGTTGTGTTTAAATCTTTCTTTTACATAAGTAGAAATTTAAAAATACTGTAATAATACTTTAGCACTGTGTAGAATGTTGTTGAAAGGTATAAGTTTGGTGTATGTTTGATTTGATTATACTTAGGTGTTCAGGCTCCTTAATCAATCCATCTGTTGTCTGTATTCATTTCCAGCCTAATAATTTTCTCTCCTTCAGCCTGCAAGTCATCAAACATCGACCTGGTGCTTCTGATCGATGGCTCTAAGAGTGTCCGCCCTCAAAACTTTGAGCTCGTCAAAAAGTTTGTTAATCAGGTGGAAATATTTGTGACATATTACAGAACAGGACCATGAATAGAGGAATTTAACAGCCTTGCATAGATTAAGCATTAAGAAAAAATATTGTTTCTGATCAACTTGCAGGTTGTGGACTCACTAGATGTGTCTGCTCGTGGTACCAGAGTTGGTCTGGTTCAGTACTCCAGCCGGGTCAGGACCGAGTTCCCACTCAGTATGTACCACACTGCTGAAGACATCAAAGCTGCAGTGTTGAAGGTAACCTAACAACCCTGAATTATTTTTTTTTTTTTTATGGTATGAGTTTGTTTTTCAGGTGGATTTCACTATTTAGAAGAGTAAAATCCTCTTTAATCAACTAATTGTATTTGTAAATTCTGTAAAAGCTTAAAATGTGTACATTAAGGTTGATTACATGGAAAAAGGAACAATGACGGGTCTGGCACTGAAGCACATGCTGGAAAACAGCTTCTCAGAAGCAGAAGGAGCTCGTCCAGCCAGTCACAACATCCCCAGAGTTGGTCTGGTTTTTACAGATGGAAGATCCCAGGATGACATCAGCGAGTACGCCAAGAAGGCTAAAGAAGCAGGTCAGTAGTCGTCAGCTCTGTCCTATAATACCATCTGAATTAGGTCACAGTAAAAGCTTATATTCATAATGCGCATGAATGTCATATTATGTGTAATATATTGACATTTTGGATTATTGATTGATTGACATTATTGATCTCAAACTGGAGAAATGTACTTGTTACATCAGCTCAAATAGTCAAAAGACAAGAAGCAGGTGCCAGGAAGAAAAAGGTGCATGGAATATATACAGTATATACTATGCGTCCACATATGACACCTTTTTCTTTTTTTTTCAAAGCACGATTATACAGGGTTATTGCACAAGATGTTTACATGGGTATTTATATAGATGGATATTTATATTTATGTATATAGTTATTGCACGGGGTATCAAATATAGAGAAACATGGTATTGCACAGGGTATCAAATAGTAATTGCACATTATACATTGCACAAGTTATTGCCGTTGTACTGTCGCATTGTAGAGTCTGATGGCAGCAGGGATGAATGACCTGTGGTAGCGCTCCTTTTTACAAACAGGGTGTAAAAGTCTTTCACTAAAGGACCAGTTCAGCTCCTTTACAGTCTGGTGCAGAGGGTGGAAGGGGTTGTCCAAGATGAATGTAAGCTTGGACAGCACAGTCTCTTCCAGGAGCCCAGTCGACAACAGCCTAGAGAAGAACTGATGCCACCACAGAGTCATAGAAGGTTTTAAGCAGGGGCCTGCTCACTGCAAAGGACCTCAGCCTCCTCTGGAGTTGGAGGAGGTTTTGGCCCTTCCTGTCTTATGAGTCCAGTCCAGTTTATTATTGACTTGAACACCCAGGTATTTAAAACTCTCCACAGTTTCTATGTCCTGTCCCTGGATGTTCACGGGGGAGTGAGGTGGGGGTCTTCTCCTTAAGTTGATCGCCATATCTTTGGTCTTACTGGTGTTAAGACACAGGTGGTTCTTCTCACACTAGTCCACAAAGTTTATGATGACCGATAGATAATACAGCTCGTTCCCCTCAGAAACCCAGCCTACAATAGCCGAGTCATCTGAGAACTTCTGGAAATGGCAGCTGACTGTGTTGGAGGTGAAGTCTGGGGGGAAAAGGTGAAGAGGATACAACAGTGGAGAAAATGCTTTATAGCATAAATAAGAAACTAAAACAATTGGAGACCGCAGACCTCCACCAAGCAGCTCCTCTTTTTATCTCAAAGTGTTAAAAAAATAAATCTTAAAAAAATTCCTAATTCAGGATTGTGTTACGGATGGCCACCAAAAATACAATAGATTATAAGTTGGCCTGCTTTAAACTTGTTTATTTCAGAGCATTCCATTCATGACCTTCTCTGTATTTTTTTACTAACAGACAAACAAACAAACAATTGGGGAAGGTTGCAAGGGCATGGAAAAGAACAAAATTAAGAAAAGCACAGAAGAATAAGCTTTAAAAAAATTGAAATTTTAAACATAAAGAAAATAACAAATATAGTTAACCTCTCTTAAACACATTGCACTTGTTAAAGCATTACTATACATTTGACGTAATGATTTCTTGTGTTCATGCAGGAATCACCATGTATGCTGTTGGCGTGGGCAAAGCAGTGGAAGATGAGCTGCGTGAAATTGCATCAGAACCTGTGGAGAAACATTTCTATTACACAACTGATTTCAGTGCAATCAACACCATTGCTGAGAACCTCAAACTTAATGTGTGCCCAGGTAAACAACACCAGAGTGCAGGCTGTGGGGATCGAACCTTCTAGGAGCACAAGCACACTGCTCTAACCACTAGGCCAACAATCCCCTATAATGCATTTTATAATGCATTATAAAATAACATCCTACACTGGAATACAGACACACACCATTTGAAAGGTCGCCAGAAGTTAACAAATATAAGTATCCACACACCAACCCCCTCACACCATCTCATCAGATTTAATAATGCCCTTCATGATAGAGGATGCCTTGTTGCTTGTCGCCATCTACTGACACCTTTTGAACATGGCAGTTTCACAATTAAATTGAAATCAAAGCAACAGCAAACAGTTGTAACATCTACAGACATATATCTTGAATGATCTAAGTTTACAAAGGCTAACTGTTGGCTAAGATTTGACCTCTCATAAACAGAACAGCATAAACAGAACAATTAATGTAAAGTCTAAAAAAAGTATATAAATAACGAATGAAATGGCTCTATGTGAAAATGTTGTCCTTTTTGTCTGCAGCTGAAAGTCAGGGGGAGGTCGAGGTGAAGGATCCTTGTGCCTGTGAGAACCTAGTGGAGTTCCAGCAGGCCACAATGAACAGTTTGGATCAGCTCACACAAAAACATATCCTTTGTTAGTAATTCAAAAAAATCTTTAGCTCACAAGTATTTACATCTATGCCTTGAAAAATTAACTCAGGTTAAAACTAGGTAACCTACAGTGGTTGTTTGCACCCAGCTCTGCATCTTTTTTACTCAGTTTTTCCCTCCTCTTAACCTGCTCTGTGTCAAAGTGAGATATAGAGAAAGAAAGAAAAACACAGGACATTTTCTTTCTTTCTGCTATACAGTAAAGACACTAAGTTTTGAGGTAGTGGTGGGGGGTCATTAAGGCTTCATGAAAACCGCTTGGTGAGCTGTTGTCTGTATTAGCAGCTCCTGGCTGTGTGCTACACTTGGCCCTGCTGGGCATGCTTCTCAATTTCCCATCCTTTGCTGCTCTTGGGGGACGTGATGCTGCGATCCATATTCTTACCTCTCTGTGTTCTGTGGACCTAGTTACAAATTTCCTAAAATGCAAATACATTTAGTAGCAAACACACTTATTTCTATGTGAAGCCATGGTTTTTTGGTTTACCTTTACAAATGGCAACCTAAAATGGCTGATGTATATATATTTTATATCTAAGGAAAAACAGTTGATTGCATTGACTAATTGACTCGAATGCAATCCGTCACACTAAGCATGCTTGTAGCAACAGTGGAGAGGAAAAACTCCCTTTTAACAGGAGGAAACCTCCAGCAGAACCAGGCTCAGTGTGAGCGGCCATCTGCCGAGGCCAACTGGGGTTCAAGGAGACAGGAGCAGAGATACAAAAAGCAACTGTAAAAGGCGGCCCCGTCGAGGAAACATCAGGAAACAATCAGCAGCTTAGCAGTAAAATGAACATTTCCATTCTGTAAAGTGCAGCAGTTATTAAACAGTTAAGGAGAAAAAACATGGTGCAAAAATGCATTGATATGGAAGTTCAGAGCAGCGTAAAGACACATATATACAGTATATGGTGCAAATATGCAGTATTTTAGTTTGGTATTATCAGTGTGATGCAGTGAGTCTATGACTTGATTTTGAGTTTTTAAGGAAGCCTTAGAGAGAGAATGGGAAGAAGAATTAATAATAGCGCAATTTTAAAATAAAACCAGTTAGATGCTGCAACAGACTTATGACCCAGAGAAAAGGTTTATCTTCCCATCAGGCAGCATTGTGTGATCCTTCATTTAGATCAAAGGGGATTTGTGTGTTTAAAATACTCAAAGTCCCAGCCTATATCAAATGTGAACTTTCTGGAAAGACTTGCAAATTGCTGCCATAGATGCTTTCCAGCCAATATGACTTAGCTTTAGCTACTATGCAAAGGATAAGAACCAAATTCTGTCTGTAGATGAGTGAAGATAATGGACATTTCTGAAGAAAAGAAACTGATTGAAGCATAAGATTGTTCTAGAAGTATGACAGAGTTAAATGCTGAGCACCACTCTTTTCAGGTATCTAGTTTTGAACAATTTAAGCTGTTTTATTCTTCTTTTATTTTGCAATTCTGTCTTGGTTTCTGATGGTCTATTACATTAGTGGAAAGAGAAGTTTAAGTTTGTACATACTTTTGCAAAGCACTGTAACACAGACGTTTAAAGATAATGTGTATTTAAGAATACAGGCCATGGCAGAAATGTGATTTCATCTGTTAGTCCTTAACAGAATGTTCACTGGCTTCAATGGCCGCCCGTTTGGAGCAACTGGAGAACCAGCTCCTATCAAGGAAGTGAAGTGGTCCAAAAGATGACCAAACAGAAAAGCACACAGGAAACTGGAGGAAAAAGAAGAAGATGACTGATGCTGGAAAAAAATCATTGTAGCAGGAGCAATGAGTGTTTCTAGGAGAAGCTAGAAACCCCTCAGATAATACAGCTGGCTTTACAACATCCTGGGTGCTTAGAAACTCAGGAAAGTGAGTGAGGTTGTGGCACCAAATCATTTGTAGCTGTTAATGGTATAATAAAACCAGCATCACTAACTACCTATATACAATATAGCTGTTATAGAGCTATATTAAAAAAACAAAAGTTAATTAACGGCTCAAAATATACTCTCTTATTATAAATACCTTTATGTATTTTACAATTCAATACATGCATTGGGTGACATTTGTTATTGGTTTCTTCTTAAAGTGCAGCACTTCACTCTAAGCAGGTGGTCTTTTTTGTAAACTAGATTTAATGTTTTTACTGTACATGAGCAATCAGTTTAAAACTGAACAATCACCTTCCTTCATAGTAACAGACTTCTCTCAGAGCCCTTCTTATATGGGATTCTTTTTTTTTTTTTTTTTACAGTTTTAGAAACAATTTATTTATTGCAGGTTTTGTTTTGTTTTTTTCTTCATTTTTTAACCAACAGCAAAAACACAAATTAAAAAAGGACAGGCGCGATTTAGAGAAATCAAGTAATAATACCACTTCTGTTATCTCTCTGGTTTGTTTCATATAAAACCATCTTTCTTATCTTTTCAGAAAATCCTCAGACCAGATTAGCTTTTCAGAGTTGGAAATAATTGAATAGTTGACAGTTTTTTAAAATAAAAAAAGGGAATTTAAGAAATGTTGAATCTTATTGTTTACTGAAGCTGTGGTGTTTATTCAGTAAAGGAATCTGCAAATGCTTTAGGACTTACTTCTGTTTGTGGTTTTCTACTTTTTCATATATCCTCAAATATAATATATATTAAAAAAAAAAATACATCATTTGATTTTAGAAGCTTCTTATAAATCTTCTGCTAGCATAGATGTTTAATTTGTTGGGTTTGTACTAAAATATACCACCATGCATTTATAGTTCTTAGTTTTTGGAAATCTGTATATGAATTTTGTATATTTTCTAATAACTGCTTTTGTATTTTACTAATGAATCTTTCTATTCAACCAAAGAGGGAAATAAATGAATAAACTTTTTACAGACCAGTTTTTTCCTATTTTTTTTTATCCTTTATTTCTGGATCGGCAGCTTTCTTTTCCCACGGATTCTAAATAGTTTAAAGTCTTTACAATAATAGAGCAACAGAAGTTATTATGTTTGGTAAACTTTTTTTTGTCTTTGATCTTTAGGAAGTGATAATTGCACTCTTCACCCATTAATAAGTTCCCAGGGACAAAGTATTGTCCGTTGATCAACTGCTTTTTGTTTTTCCAGAAACATAGTCATGTACAAGTGAGAGTAACCCATGAGGATAAAGACTAATTCCTCGTGGGCTGTAATTTGCTGCATTGAAAGAGCAGCTCTACAGAGATCACTTACTGCTTTCAGACTAATTGTATCCTTACTGATAGTGACCTTTACTGCACTGTCTCAACAGGCTCTTTAGCAACACACTTGTTCCAGAAGTTTCTTCTATTAAAGTAGCACAAAAGTAAATAAGTGATAACTTCCTTTTCCACTATTCAAATATTAAATATTTTTGGTAATACAAACACTTTTAGACAAGATCCACTATTACAGATTTAAAGATGGTAAAGTTCACACAGCGAAGATATTAATATAACTTGTAATTGTTTGTGTCATCATACAAGTGATCTTGGTGATTCTAGTTTCTGTGATTTGTTGATAAAACAGGCCACATGTGATCAGATTTACGGTAGATGTAAATCATGTTAGATTATTATTTCTTTTTTATATTCCTTAATAAAAGTAAAATGCATCAGTCTTCAGTTTCTGCAAAATTGTTATATGAACTAAATAGAACCATGGAAGGAGAACAATTGTCATTGTGTCAGGGGACTAGACAAATAAACACAACTGAAAAGATAGATCATTTTAAGATTATTATTAGTTTATTATTACTATTTTTTGCATCCGTTAGCTTTTTACTTCAAAGATGAAATGATAAATATGGAAACTGACTAGTAGTGTTAACCTATAAAGTTTCCTGAAAATGCATACTTTAACAAAAGGCACCAGATGCCAAAACCAAGAATTTAATAAATGTTTCTATATGAGGTATAAAGTTATGTCCTTTGCACAGTTAGTCGATAGATTTCATTATAGATGCTTATATGATCCTTTTTTAATGCAGCAGAAAACGGGATATAAACCAATACAATTAGAAAAAAAAAAAAGGATTTGGAACATTCTGTAAACCTAAAGTAAATTTCTAATTAGTGGTGGGGCAGGCCCCTCCCTGGGCTGCCACCTTATCGTGGTGGAGGGGTTTGAGTGTCCCAATGACCTTATGAGCTATGCTGTCTGGGGGGTTATGTCTCCTGGTAGGGTTACCCAAGGCAGACAGGTCCGAGGTGAGGGACCGGACAAAGAGCAGCCTAAAGACCTCTTAGAGCAAGACATAGGGATCTAGTGTTTCTCTTGCACGGACGCGGGTCACCGGCGCTCTATTTTGGTGGCCTTAGAATTGAGTCTCTGTTATTCACAGATGATGTGGTTCTATTGGCTTCATCGGACCATGATCTACAGCTCTCACTGGAGCAATTCACAGCCGAGTATGAAGCGGCCGGGATGAGGATCAGTGCCTCCAAATCCGAGACAATGGTCTTGACTCAGAAAAGGGTAGAGAGCCTCCTCCGGGTTGTGGAGGATTTACTGCCCCTAGTGGAGGAGTTTAAGTATCTTGGGGTCTTGTTTATGAATGAGAGGAAGATGGAGCGGGAGATTGATAGGCGGATTGGTGTGGCGTCTGCTGTGAAGCGTGCGCTGCACCGGTCTGTTGTGGTGAAGAGAGACTCTCATCTATGGTCATGAGCTTAGGGTCATGACTGAAAGAATGAGATCCCGGATACAAGCGGCTGTAATGAGTTTTCTCCGTAGTGTGTCTGGGCTCTGCCTTAGAGATAGGGTGAGGAACTCAGTCATCCGGGGAGGACTCAGAGTAGAGCCGCTGCTCCTTCATATTGAGAGGAGCCAGTTGAGGTGGCTCAGGCATCTGGTTAGGATGCCTCCTGGACGAGGTGTTCCAGGCACGTCCTACCGGCAACAGATTAAGATGTAAATATTTATGTGTATATGGTACTTTTTAGTAACAAGACAGTTTAAAGTGCCGTACATGAACTAAAAAGAAAAAAAAAACATACACACGAACACGAACTTTGCTCTGGCATAATGGAGACAGCTAAATGTTCTCTTTTCAAAAAATACCTTTGCAGACATTGTTATAAACTCCAACTTAAAAGTTTTAATGTTTGATTTTATGTGATTATTAACCAAATGCATAGCTCCAGATGTCAAGTTACAGAAGATCAACAGTTTGTGCTCATTAGCTTTTAGCTGGCCTCTGTATGTTTTTAAAATCCGAATCCAAGCTCTTGATCCTTTTTCTTCTGAAAAAGGAGAGGATTCTAGTCATAACTGATAGAGTTTAGAATCATGTATTTTTGTTACTTTTGTTTTTGTTAATTATCCTCGTAAGAAGAGGTGAAAATATTTACTACTACTGAATGCTACTGCTATTGCATTTGATTAAAGGCTTAGTCTATGAGGAATATTTGTTTTAAAACAATATTTCTAATATCATTAACCATATTCATGTTTTCTCTAGTGAACATGCTGCTCTGTGTCTCTAATTAGGACAGCCATTTCAAGTAAATAATCAGTCTTAAGTTCCCTTCAGTGACAGTTTTACATTAACAACAGCGTCTCTCATAAGACATCTAATAGATCCCCTTGGTGCTACTGTGGCACATTGCACCTTTTAACGCTAGAAAACAACTTACTCCCTGTCTGTGCGACCTTTACGATTAGAGTCTAAACAAGGTTAATGAGATGGCTGTTTTCTTGTCCTGGAGTATGACTCACCTTCTCATCTCTCTGAGAATTACCTAAAATGTCAGAATGTCCCAGCAGTATTTCTAACAGAAGAAAGTGCAACAACATTGTAAGTTTTCAAGAACAGCTTTGATTTAGCACTCAAAACAAATGAACTTTCAAAGCCAAAATACAGAATACATCTACTGAACATATCTAATCTATATAATTTATTTTCTGACATAAAACTGTTGTTGCACATCATGCTTATAGGCTGCGGCAAATTCTAATCATTTTTTAAACTGATAAATCAAGCAAAAATTAATATTTTTGTTTAAATAATTTTAAAAGCCCAAGAAAAATCTCAACTTATAAACATAATTTATTTTTGTTTTACCTCTAAATGAGGTATAAAGGGCTGTGCTCTAATGCTTACTTCCACACTAATGCATTTTGGTGATAAAAAATATTCTACTCTATCTATTTAATGTCGATTTTGTTTTTGATTGTTTTCTCACTAATTTAAGTAACTCTGACAAAATGAACACTGCAGCACAAAAAAATTTTTCCCTAACAATAATACTTCACCAAGAATATCATGAATATCTCTGGTTAATCTCACTTAAATCAGCTCAATATATAATATAGACTGCTAAAACATATAAATTAACAACTTTATTATGTGCAAAACTTTATGAATTGGCACATCATTAAATATGTAGTGTATTTTAGGTGCTTGTAGTAATTTGAACAAAATGTTCAAACTCCTGACAAGTTCTGTATTATTGTTAAACACAAAATTGTTGAACAGTTATTCAATTAAAGAACAAGGAAGCTATTATAAGTTTAACAAATTAGGTGAAACTAGGTGAAATTTCAGTGTTGAGCATTTTGTTTTTAGACAAATTAACACTACATCAAACTTAATAAAATGCAAATAAAAGAGGTAATTTAATATTGATTTAATTAATATCAATAATAATGATAATAATATCATTGATTCCTCCCATAAAACTGAGACTGACACAACTTTATGCTGGTTGATATATTTTCACATTTATTTTGATTAATATTGTCTGTTGTATTTTTATCTTTGATGGAATGTTACTTTAACTCTGTCCTTTGTACTATATATTAGCTACTGGAAGAAGAATTTCTCTGAAGGAGAAATCCCGAGGACAATAAAGCTGAGTCTAAGTCTAGCTAAGATATACTCTGTGAGATCTACTGTATGTTTCCTCAGTTTCCTGCCTTTTTTTCATATGCTAAGCCCTGAGTGGCAGGGGTTCACATCCATGTATATGCACTCCATGCACGCACATGCACACACATTCAAGTATTTGCTTGCATGGCCAGACCAGCAATGTAAACAAGAGAGTAGAAAACAACATAGAGAGATGGTGTGAGACGTCTTATTATAGTTCATCTGAAAGGATACTTTGAGTCCCTTACTATGCTATTATTTTTTTGTCTTTTTATATCATTGCTCCTTTGATGAAACAGTATAAAAAATTAGTACATTTTAAATTAAAACTGTAAAAGAAAACGAGGAAGAGAAAAAAAAACAGTAAAAAAAAAAAAAATATATATATATATTGCACTGTTTAGGTAATAATGATAAGAATAAAAAATAAATACCAGCCCTTTACAGAAAGACTGAAAAACTGTAAACTGATGAAACATGATTGCAGAAAAACAACAGAGCAGGCAAAAAAAAGTGTGTAAATAATCATTAACATCTGTGCAGATAAGGATGATGGTGTACCAAACAAAATATTGAGCAGATAAGAAAATGAGCAAATTAAGGTATGCATAAGACCAAAACCCGCACATAATCAGATAGCCGTGTCATTACCAGCATGGTTGTACGATCTGTTTTAACCTCTTTAGAGTTCCTTTGTACATCTAGGATAAGACAGTCTGTCAGCCTCATTAATGGGGTAGAAAACACTGTCCAGCAGCAGTCTTGTTTTTGACAGCCATCTTAGATTTAGTCTTTGTCTTATTCTTCAGGACGAAAACTATTATTTGTTTTAGTCGCATTTTAGTCATTATGATATGTGATAGTTTTGGTCAGTTTTGGTCCACCAAAACTTAAAAAGGTGTTATTCAGTTTTATGTTGCAAAAAAAGTTAACCTTTACAATTTCGAATAACAACCAGATTCTTTACCAGACTGACAGCTCTTGCCTAGATACTGCAATAGCTGGGTATAGAATGCTGCTGTGCAGTTCATCATATAAAATAATGCACAATAAAGTAATGATTTTAAAAATACAAGGTTCCCGTCCGAAAGCAAACACTTCCTGATCTACTATGAATTATGCATTTCAAACAGATCAATAAAATCTTCATTGCTCAAAAAAAGCAAATAACAAAGACATTCTTCTTCCTACTTTGGCAATTTTGGCTTTATTTCTGAGAATCTTCACCTTAGTTATCGCTGCTCAGGGGTAAAGTAGATTGAAATTCACAGAGTTTTGATATAAAACAAATACAAAGAGCAACTACATAATTGCGTGGTACTGCCATTGCAATCCAGATCTGAATTGAATTTATATGTTAACTAAAATGTAATATTCAAAGGAAACATAGAAAATGTTTGAATGACAATACAAGGAAACATCTACATCATATTTAAATAGATACAAATGAAAACCATCAGAAAGAAATATTGAAAGATCTAGGTACCATTTCATATGGCTCTTTATCCAAAAATAAACAGTATGCAATCAAATATTTTATTTGGATATAATTTAGTAATTCCATAAAGAATGTTTAGTTTCACGTCTTGTGAGCTGGAAGAAATAAAATATTGACAGCAAAGGGATTTTTTATGTTTGGCAGAGGATGATCAGCCACATAGTTTATTAAGTAGCGATGGAAGAGCCATACTGCTGAGAGCGAACCATCAGTGTGGAGCGTGAAGCGCAGGCTTGGATCAGATCAGTTTGTCAGTGTTGACTGTGCAGTACCGGACCAATCCAGGTTATTTTTCTTAGACCCTGCTGCTGCTTCTGCCATGATCCATCTGTGCTCCTGCAGCATGTGTAGCACTGCGCGGCAGGTGGGCAGAAGGATCAATGAACAAGCAGCAGCACATATGATACTGCTTAGCTGATTACAGCAATGATGCAGTTTAAATGTCTGACCGACCAACCGCTATTTTTTATTTTGTCTTGTCTTGTTTACTAAAACTTAAACCTATGACTCGTCATGTTTTAGTCATCAAAGATCCATGTTTAGCTTGGCAGTTTTCGTTATCCTCACGAAAAAGAGGAGCATCAACAAATTGATTTCGTCATCCTCATCTTTGGCGAAAACAACACTGTCCAGCAGAGATTTTTCTTAAATTCCCTCTGTCTCCAACCACCTGCACAGTAACCAAGGGGCACCCTAGAAAAGAGCTGGCCGTCTGAACGATTAAACCGCTTCCTTTTAGCTGCAGAATAACTACTACTTTAACTTTCATTCACTCTGCACTTTATTAGCTCCACCTGTCCAAATGCACGTTAATGCAAATTTCAAATCAGCCAATCATGTGGCAGCAGCCAATCATGTGGCAGCAGCTCACTGCATTTAGGGGTGTATACATGGGCAAGACGATCTGCTGCTGCATCAGAATGGGGAAGAAAAGTTTTTTAAGGAGCATGATTGTTGGTGTCAGACAGGTGGGTCCGTGGGCACAAATGCCTTGTTGATGCCAGTGGTTGGAGGAGAATGGCCAGACGGGTTTGAGCTGATAGAAAGTCAACAGTAACTCAAATGACCATTTGTTACAACAGAGGTATGCAGAAGAGCATCTCTGAATGCCTAACACTTTAAACCTTTAGGTGGATGAGCTACATCGGCTAAGAACAGGAAAATGAGACTATAATTTGTACAGGCTAACCAAAATTTGGACAAGAGAAGATTAATAAAACATTTCCAGGTCTGATGAATCTCAATTTCTGCTGTGACATTCAAATTCAATTTGGGGTCAACAACGTGAAAGGGTGGATCCATTATGCCTTGTATCAACAGTTAATCTTGGTGGTGATGTAATTTTGTGGGTGACATTTTCCTGGTACATGTGGGCCCCTTAGTACCAACTGAGTATCATGACCATCTGGGTATTGTTGCTGACCATGTCCAATTATTTATGACCACAGTTTACCCATTCTCCAAAAGCTACTTCCAGCAGGATAATGGGCCATATTATAAAGTGTGAACACTCTCAGACTGGCTTCTTGAACATGACAATGTGATTACTGTACTCAAATGGCCTCCACAATCACCACATGTCAATTGAAAGGAGCATTGTTGGGATTTGATGTAATGCAACTTTTTGAATGCGAAGCCAACAAACCTGCAGCATCTGCGTGATGTTATCATGCCAAAATGGTGAGGAGGAATGTTGCCAGCAGCCTAGTGAATCTATACCACATAGAATTAAGGCAGACCTGGAGGAAAAAGAGGGTCCAACTTGTTGCTAGCAAGGTGTACCTAAAGTAGCTGGTGAGTGTAAAACACAGTCTAATATGACTTTTACCACCACAGAATGAAAGATATATGTGTGGCAATCCACAGCAAATTAGTCGACAAGGCAGTAGAGGCAGCTTTGACCCATCCTGTAAGAGTTATCTGTGTTGTTACTCCAGTCTAGTTAATTGTTAGGGTAAAACAGAAACTTACAAGTCCACTATCACAACATCATCCCCGGAGATGTTTACTGGTGTCAGTGTGGCGGGTCTGTGCCCATAGAAGTCCACCTCCAGCTCCTTCCATTTTCATAAAACTTATATGGGAAATTCGAAAGTATTTGAAGTCAGTAAAACTACCTGTTCTGGGACCTTAGATGAACTGTGCAGAAACAACAGTCAAAAAACCTCAGATCAATATTATGAGATCAACGATATCATTATTTTTCTTTGGGGGAAAAAAATGTCCATATTCTAGTGGAATTAAAAGGGTCCGTCCTTGTTTAACAGGAGTATATAATAGGTAACTTTTCCAACAATTGAGCAAGTACTTTAGTCTTTAAAACTGTCTTAATAACCTATTAGTTATTAATTGAGGATTTCTAAAGTAAGAACTTTGGAGGCTTCATCATGTAAAACACAGATAAACACACACCTATTCACATGCAGGATCTAAGAGTTTCTACGTATGCTCAGGCACACCCATGAACCTTTAGGCTGATGGTAATTAAACTATATAAAGTATGGAGCATCATTCTAGCATTGATTAATCTGCCAACGTACAGCCTGTCAAAAAAGTTTGGCACTAAGAAAAATAAGTAACCAAGAAGTAAAACAGTAATATTGAGCCTTTTAAGTTAAATCAGATATATTTAATATGTTTGAGTATTTCTGAATAAGAACAGGTTAAGGAAAGAAGATCATCCTGAACTTAAGGTTAGTGCATTTATCTTAACTTTTGAAAATTTTAAACTTTTACATTCTGATCTGAAATTACAATTTTGGCTTAAATATTTATCGCAGTTACATTGTGATTTGTTAATTTAGCAACTTTTCTGTGTAGATGTTTGCATGGATTTTTGTTGCTTGGCTCCTCTTTCTCTATTATGATGTGCTTTTATATAATGCTATCCCGTTTATGAGTCTGAGCTTGACACTTTAAACTGCTTTTTATCATTTTTACTTACAAGGCTGCACATAAAGGCTCAGTAAAGATTAACAGATTAACATAAAATCAGTAAAAAGATTAAATTACCTATTACTTTGGTATCTGTTAGCAGTATGGATTGGTGCTGGCATTCCCCAGCCTTTATAAAGGCCTTTTGAATGTTATATAAACTAACAGGATGTTTAAAAATCAGGATATATTTAATCCCTCTTCCGGTTTGTGCCCTTTTTAAGGTTTAGTATAGTTTATGCATTTAAGTTCACAAGGAAATGTTTCCCCAAGATTTGTTGATCTGCCATCTTTACTGACGTGTGAGCCATATCTGAAGCTGATGTACAATATGCAAAACACTAAATGACAAATTAGGAGACTGCATAGTCAGACTCATCTAGTCATTCATGCTGACTTTTTTTCTGTGCAAAAAAACAAAAAAAACAACACAAAAATACAAACATTTGGTTGAAAGGATCAGAACTATATCATGCTTATTCACCTTTTAGGTGTTATAGTTAAACACATCATAGCTGTTGTGGAAAGCAAAAACAGAGAAATGTTTTAGATGTTGCATTTGATATTTGTAAAATATTTAACACTTTGTTATTTTCCCCTGACAGGCTTAAAGAGATGAATGTATCTGCAGCTAATGTGACGGTGGTTTTAGATTATCGGGATTCCTTTACCAAGGCTGTGATAAAGAATGTCATTGTTGTGGTCCTTAGCATTTCCATCAACTACATCAATGCAGGAATCATTCGTACCTTCTGTGAACACCAGGTCAGACATTATTTGACGGCTTGTACTGCCTTATAAATTGATTTGATAAATATAAATAGACCAGGAAACGAATTATGGTATTGAAATCATCAGGTATTAATCCTGTTTTTGCCAGGCTCCAGCATTTAAAATAAATAGTACATTTAATTACATCGTTATTTGCTTAAACATTTAAAAATTTGAACTTTTTACATGTTCTCATGATGAAACCAAAAACCTCAATGTAATTTGTTGTCATTCATGAGACACAAAAGTGATGTGGGAGGAAAAGTTTAAGTTGCTTCTCCTGGAGTCTGGTCTCTGACTTGGTTATTGTAACCTTAACCTATAGGTATGTTTTGAACTGAGCCACTATATTTCTGTCTATGCACAAAAATGATTAGAAAATAAAGTAATCAGAGTTCAGTTTTTGTGGGTGAAAGTGTCCTTCATCCAAATTTCAGTTCAAATCTAGAGAGGTAGAAGTTCTAAGTTTTAAATCTGTTTGGGAAGAGTCGTTCTGCAAATCTCACTGAACAGTTAGGTGCTGTTTTTACGATTGTTAGATTAGCTCACTGAGAGATATTTAGTCACCAATGTGAATTGCTTTAAACTTGACTGGGCATTAGGTAAATACTGTACTCTGTGTTTTTTATGTTTTAGCACTAAGCTTGATGCCCAATCAGGTTCCTTTCTTATAATGATTTTATTTAGAAGTATTTTGAAAGAATGAAGCGGACTGAATATCATTTAACATTTATTACTAGTTTGTCTCACAAAAAATCCTAAAGCACAATTACTGGTCCAACCGAGCTTGAAGGTTATATAACTTGACCTATTTTTGGAAATAAGTATTTTGACACACTCACATTACATTGTATTTTTAAAAGCCACTTTAAGTTAGTTTTTGCAAAAGTGAGCCATATTAGCAATATTAGCTGTATGTCAGTCAAAGTGTCCTAAAGAAAAGTGTTGTGTTTGGAAATTGTTTTCTTTGCTGTCATTTAGGTGTGACTTTACTAATAAAACTAACACATTTAAAAACAAGGGTTAAAAACAGGTTCTGTAAAACAGCTTTAGTAGTGAGTTCAGGCATAATGCAAAAATGTTTTGTGAACTTTAAGATCTAAAAATATCATACTTATGGACAAAACAGAAAAAAAGGATAGGTAAGCAAGCTGGTTTTAAAAACTTTAAGTTTAAATGTATAATATTTTCTAATGATAAAGGGGAAATAAGTAGGATTATAATAAAGACTAAAAGGGAAAAAAATGACGATAAACCTTTGAGGTTTTTTTTTTTCATGCAAACCAATTTCAAACTAATGTCAGACCCTTTACAATGAATTAAATAACCATGACTGTTTTATCTTAATCTGAATTATTAATGTCAATGCAACACTCCATAGCTGTGCAAACAGCATCACATGAAACCTCATGTCCTATCCGGTCTATCTCTCAACATTTTATCGCATCTTTGACTTTTATAACCATTGTCATATCTGCTCTTTTCGTCTCATCTCCAGATCTTCTACACTAATCCTCGGTACATCCTGTTTTTTCACTTGGTGATCAATGACATGATCCAAGTGTCGCTGACTGTGACTCTTTTCATAATAAGCTACATCATCTACAAGATACAAGTGTTTGTTTGTTGCATCTTAATCCTGACTGCCCTGTTTGCCACTGAAAACACCCCACTGAACCTGGCCTGCATGGCAGTGGAGTGTTACATCGCCATCTGCATTCCTCTTCGTCATCCTCAGATCTGCACAATCAAAAGAACACGGTTGCTTATTTCTCTGATCTGGACCACCAGCATGTTGTCTGTTCTCCCTGATCTCTTCATTACCTTGGCCACAGAACCACTCGACTATTTTAATCAACATGTGTTTTGCCTCAGGGAAACCGCTTTTCGAAATCCCAAAATAATCGAAAGGAGAAATATTACCTATACCGTATATCTGGTTCTAGTTTGGTGTGTTATATTTTACACTTATTTTCGGATATTATTCACAGCTAGATCAGCAAGTAAAGATGCTAAAAAGGCGAGGAACACAATCCTCCTCCATGGATTTCAGCTTCTGTTGTGTATGGCAGGGTATGCAGAACATCAGGTGAAAGAGGCAGTGTTGCAATGGTTTCCAAAGTATTACTCAGACTCTCTGTTTGCTTGTTATATAATTTTCCAAATACTCCCAAGATCTATTAGTTCAATCATCTATGGCATAAAGGATAAAACTTTCAGGAAGCATCTGAAAGGGCACTTAGTATGTAAGGTGAGTTCACATTAATATTAATGGAGTGTGTACATCTAATTTTGCTTTATAGTCTTGTATGAAACCTTATATGGATATTTCAATGAACCTTTTCTTCGCCAAATGAACTTCACTCGAAAAAGATTCAATAATGTGTATTTAAGGATTTTATGATTTCAACGTTACTGTTCTCTCATACACGAGGCATTGTTGGCAGGACCAAAGTGTAGGCAGAGTAAGTAAGTGTAAGTGATATTCATAAATCAAATGAGAAACTTACAGCAGGAGACTTGGAAAATAGGCAGTGAAACAAGCAGGGAAGTGGAGCGTAAGTTTCGTATTGAATGTCTGTGCCAGTAGCTTGCTGAGTTCTGCTGATTTAATTATGGTGCCCTTTTGGCTCATTACAAAGACGAAAAGAAAGAAAGAAAAAAATAATAATAAAAAAGAAAGAAAGCCAAGAGGAATTATGCAGTGCTGGGAATACAGTGTGAACATTAGTGTTCACTGAAGCCAGAGAAGCATTCTGGTTTTGCTGCTTGGTCGATGGATAGAGTACACAGCATTGCTAATACTGATACTAGGGATGACAATGCTATTATTAGGCTTCTTATCTATAGTAGTATTATAAAGTATAATAAAGATTTTCAGCATGTAATGGATGCAATACTTACCATTGTTTAAGTTTCATAATATAAGCTAGAAATTATTTTATCAAGTATTACAACCATACTAGCACTGATAGAAGAATGGACACATTTACTCGCTTAGCAAGTTAATTCACCATCACTGGGCAAGTTATTGCATCTCCATGTCCATGTGTCATGTAAACAAGCCAGCTATCATAGATGGTTTTCAAAAGTTACTTCCTAAATTTAACTGTCCAGTGAATATGAATATTTTTTCTCTCAATTGTCTATACAGAATCTAAAATTACAATAATTTCATAACAAGGACAACTCCTTAAAGAGATATTATGTGCATAAAGATAAAAAAAAATTAAAACAGCCTTTTTATTTGACCTTTACGACTAAAACATGGTTTGATGAGCAAACTGACACCTCAGTAATTTAGTTCTAATGCATTCATAAGACTATGACCATGTTTCCCTGAATGTACTGTTATTTGGAAGTTCACTTGCTGTTCCGTACGGTAGATGTGACGTTAAGCATGTGTGTGTGTCTGTATGTGCTTGCTTAAAAATGTCAATGAAAAATATTGCTTAACCTCTTAACACAGTAGTTATGTATAGAGGAGAAAAGTTAGTACAATTCTAAGGGCCCCTTACTGACAGGCTATTGCAGGGAAACAGGGTAGGACGGCCTCCTTTATGTTTGTGAAATGGACTGTGCTGTCTTGAAAAATAATGGTTATCAAAAAGAGGAGGATAAAACCATTAGAAGGAGTACCAATTTCTAACCCAGTTTGACCTGGGTATCGTCTATAATATATGACTTCAGGCGGGAAAGTTTGAAGCATTAGGTAGCCAACAGTTGCCAACTTTTCAGCAAGGAAAATCTCTAATAACTGTCCTAAAAGTCACCTAAAGGCACTAAATGACACCATTATATAATTTACATATTTAGTCATACTTTCATCCAAGACAAAAAGTAAATAAAAACACTCTAAATATGTTAAAAACTACATAGTAAAAAACTGCATGGTAAAGCTGCTGAGACTGACCACTTGTCAATCCTTTTTAGATGGGGGAGGCTCACTGCTATGGAACTAGATCGATCTCAATTTTCACAAATACACATATGTGATTCATACATACACAGGACAAGATCTACACATGCACAGCATGATTCACACAAGCACAAACAAATCCAGGCACACACAGAACAAAATCCACACACGCACAGCACAATTCATGCAAGCACACAGATCAACACATGCACAGAACAAGATTCACCAAAGTATTTCTGGTCCATAAACTATTATAAATTAAATTACAAAGTTTTAGAAGTCTTTAAACTTCACTGCAATTGTGTGTGGATTTTTGAGATTCTTCTGATGTACCTCGATTCACAAATGCATTTTTTACAAACAAGGAATGGTTTGCCACCAATCACAAAGCTCCTTTGTATAAGTCAATCACAAGAAAGCACGCCATGTGGGATGACTGATCCCAAGATTCCACATCCTCCGCCAGCAAAGGCTACAATCTCTGCAGTTCCTCCCATCTTGCTCCGCTCCGACTCCCTTGGAGCTTGAGGAGAGCATGCGCCATATTATCATTTAATTCAAGGGAGAAAAACATACGATAATGAATGCTTAAATTTATTACGACATAATTAAATCTCACCATCAACATAAATCACACACGTTTCTGCCAAAAATAGAATTTTTTCGTTGTGGGTCTTTGTAATAGGAATAATCATATAAAATGAGTTTCTTCTCTACCTCCAAACCCTGCATCTCTTCATGCACGTGATTATATAATCGACTTCCACCTCCTGGGTGACTGGAGTCCCTGGAATGAGCAAGCTCTAATGGATGTGTTCCTCTACTTCCTACTAAACGCCACGGCATCCTACAGCGCCTCAGCGGTTCATGTGACTGAATGAGCAATTTAGTGTCATCTGCTATCTAAGCAAATTATTTTATGCTATTAACCACCAATTCTGGAAATTTTTTCACTTGTGATTAATAAAATTTTGTACATACTATTAAGTGGGAAATTATAAGTATTTGGTTTTCTATTTAAACATTAAATATATCACTGTCTATCTCGCCTAAATTTTTACGTTCTGAGCCTTCTGACAGTCTTCTGCTCAACTCTTGCCATAGTTCTGGTGTTATATTTCAGAGCACTTCACAACATCTATTTTCGTCTGCTGCAGTGGTGTGTTTTATGTTTCAACTTTTTTTAATGCAATACGTTAATGTTTTCAGAGGTGAGCAGTAGGGGTGTAAATCACATCCATCATGGCGATTCGATTCAGTATCGATTTCCTGACCCAATGATTCGATTATTTTCGATACTCAAAAATACACCACGATTCGATTCGATTCGATTAATCGGTTAATATTTTTTTTTTTTTTTTCATTTTGTTTTTTTTACACCTTACAGGCTAAACAAAGTTTCAAGTTTGAAATAAATCAATGAAAGCTGTAATATTGTTATGCATTTCTTTTTTTTTAGAAACAACAGCAAATAACAGAAGTAGAAAAGTTGTATAAAAAATACTGCAAAAATACATAATCAGTGCAATGAGTGCAATGCAATACCTCGGCTCCAGACGCCCCGCCCCCTTGAGAGACGCTCCGCTGCTCCTCTCCCAAATTGTAGTTGACCGCAAACAGTGCCGCAGACAGGAGGCCGGCTTGTTTCGTTTTTATGACCAAAATTTTGGAAAACAACTTGTGAAGTTTGACCCGCTAGAAGAGCGAGGTGCGCGAGAATGCTGAGACCCTTTTTCCACCTGGATCTCCGCTCTCTTTGGCCCTCATTTCCCTCCGTCGTCGGACTAAATTCGCCCCCAATTCATCACCGCCTCGGCCGTATCTAGACCCACAGTGTGTAGCACAGACCACGCTACAATATTGAGCATAATTTAAAAATGTCTGTGTCAAGCTCACAACAACACACTGCTGCAGCAGGATAACCAGGAAGCGAGGTAGGAGGGCAAAATAGGTTTAGCGCCACCGCAGAACGGGAGGAGAATTACACCCAGGAGCAAATGGATAAAAATAGACCGAAGGAAAAAAAAAAAAACATGAATCGATTATCTTGCAGACGTGTCGATGCATTGGATCTTCGGCTGTTGGATCGATGCATCGATACAAAACGATTATTATTTACACCCCTAGTGAGCAGCCAGTACTTCAGAGCAGTAAACTTAGAGCCATCTGTGCTTTCATGCATGGTTTGCCAAAGTTTCCAACAGTAAGCAGTCATTCAATTTTAAGCTAACCTTTTTTTTTTTTTGTAAAGACTTTTAATCTTGCATAAAATAACATTTTGCATACTGTATTCAGAGTTTTACATGAACAAATTCATGTGCTATTCCTAGTACTGAACTACAGTAAGTAAGAAGGTGGCATGCAAATCTATTGATTGGTCAGTAAAATTTTAGAGATGCATAGACGGTAGCTGCTTAAGCGCCGCGGGACCAGATTTGTTTTTCCCCTGCTCACATTCACACAAACATCCATCTCCCCCGCCCCCACCACCACCACACACACCATTACTCACTTTGGACATGTAGAATCAGTTGGACACTGTATAAAAGATTTCCCTTATGTGAGTAACAACATAGATCTTGTTGAGAAGCAACATGCTGGTGAGCACCCTTATAATAGTTATTTACTTAAATGTAATTAAATGCATTTTTTTTTTCAAGTACTTATTAATCTTTAAATCTTTACTAAAAACACAGAAAGTCTATATGCCTAAAGTAACAGTAAATGTGACTGTTGTTTCTCATCTTTGTACATTTTTCTGAACAACCCTTTATATTTTTTAAGTTTTTGATCTGGATGATCTTATTATTTTATTGAAATTCACAATATTAAAAATGATCAACTACTGCAAAATGTGAAGGATTAAATTTCTTTCTGCTCACTTTAATTGAAACACTTTAATTTTACCTTTTATATAACCAAATGTTTTTCTATAATAATTCCCTTTCGCTATTCTTGTATAGTTTATTATTTCAATGTGTAGCTGGCTTCACCTGCCAAAAGACATTTTATTCATTAATGTGCACTTACAGGTAAACTAACACAATACTGTATACTCTAAATACCATAATCACTTATACAAAATAAGTTTTATAGACATAGCTTTAAATTACCATTAAAGAACTTCCAATTTTAATACTAGGAATTGACTGTATATATATCTTGCTCTTCCTAATTTTAAGACTCAGGCTGTTCTGGTCCCATCTATTAGGATCATTGCTCATCAATAAGATATTTTTTATTACGTAAATCGAATACATAAAAATGTTCATGAAATTTAGATATTAAAGTTAAAAAGCATACACAACATAATTATTTTAAATATCTAATTTAAAAAAAAAAAAATAAAATATCTAAATTTAAAATTTCATCCTGTATGATCAAAGAGTTTAAGATACCTTCGAATGCTAATTAAAAGTAATGATTGCAAATAAAAGCACGAGTTGTGACCATTTTTAATGTATTTATTTTTTAATCTGGTTGATTTTATTTTGCCAATGCAGTTTTACGCCAGAGTTTTTTTTTTTTTTTTTTTTTTTTTTTTTTCAAGTAAATCTATGTTCAATTTCCTAGCTATCATATATTTTACTGGATTTCAGTTATCCATTCAGTTTTTGTATATATTGCAGATTTTCTAATTTTTTTTATTGTGTTTTGTGATCTACTTTTTCTTAGCTCACAGCAGCAGGTTATATAAGATGAACTCATCATCTGCCAACCTTACACTGACAGGGCGACGTCCAGATCCCTTTGGTAAAGCTGTGACTAAGATTTTCATTGTCATGCTTCTGGGAATTTCCATCAGCTACATCAATGCTGCTCTCATTCACACCTTCAAGAAACATCAGGTTTGATTTTTGTTTTAAATGATGGAATTGTGCTGCTGCTGTTTTGGTCTCTATGGTAAAATAAATATGTTTATCTCAATGGGAATGTTAAAAAAATTAATAAATAAAATAGATACGTCTAAATCTATTCATAGTACTTTATTAATTTCAAATTTGAATAAAAAGATATTCTAAATTAAAAATGTTTAAATGCTGTTGCTAAAAGATTAACAGAATTTATTTTAGTCACAAAGATTTAAATATTTCAAGACGCCATTTCATGTTTTTTCTACTATTATGGCTTACACATAAAAAAAAAAGTTCTATGTTACAGGAAAAAAGTAACTCATGATACAAAATAAAATAAATATTTAAAGCTATTTTTTATTAAATCAATGATCTTTTTCTTGAATTACTGCATAGGGCCTGTGACACTGATGAGATGTAATGGTAGATTGCTTTCATAGGAGTTATTGGGTCGTCTGCACTGGGTCTGCTGTCTATAATCTTTATCAAATTATCTCATAGAATCTCTACAGGGTTCAAATCAGACCAGTTTTCTGGTTGTTTTATCTAAAAGAGAGACGCTGAGTACCAATCCAGTTCTGTTTCTCAGATAAAATATTATTGAATGGAATTTTAAGTTCAGTCAAGGCCACGGTTATCCTTGTTTGTTCATCTTTCCTTTTAGCTTTCTATTGGTGTGGTTGGATACAGCCGTTAAAGTAATTATCTCATTTAGGTGTGACACAATGATTTTTACAGAACTTCATTTACTTTTAAAATATTCTTATTTATATGTACCTGTAAAGCTTAATTTATTTCTCATCAGACCTGCTCAGGAAACAAAGCTCATTGAAACACCTGTTGTAAACAGAAAAACAGACTTCTTTACTGTTTTTGTGTGTACAACTAATTTATCATCACAAAAAAACACTGTATTGGTTTTTAGGCCATTTATTAAAAGAAAAACTTATTTTGAACAGTGAATAAATTGTGTGCCAAAAATATTGCAATTGAATGGTTCAACCTTAAATTTAAAATCAAGAATAAAATGTGGTAATATTGTTTGGCAAGAAGGTAAAAACTTGTTTCTCAGAGTGTCTTCTTTTCTCTTAGTCACTTGCCAGTAAATACCAGTAATAAACATTAAATAGCAGAAATAAACATCAGTGTGAATCTTTCTTCTAGATTTTCCACACGAATCCTCGGTACATCCTGTTCATCCACATGGTGGTCAACGACATGATCCAGGTGACCCTCTCTATCAGCTTGTTTATCATCAGCTACAGCGTCTACAAAATCAGTGTTTCAGTTTGCTGTATCCTTGTCCTTATTACTCTCTTCACTACTGAAAACACCCCCCTGAACCTGGCCTGCATGGCTTTGGAGTGCTATGTCGCCATCTGCATGCCACTGCGCCATGCCCAGATCTGCACTGTTAAAAGGACATTGATGTTGCTGGGATTAATCTGGGCAACCACCATGCTGTCAGTCCTCCCAGACCTGTTCATCACCTTGGCCATAGAACCACTGGAGTTCTTTAACACCCAAGTATTTTGTATCAGACAAACCAGCTTCCGAAGTGCTGTTCTTCTTAAAAAGAGAGACGTCACATATTCATTATTTCTAGTTTTAGTTTGGTTTACTATCTTTTTCTCCTACTTCAAGATCCTGTTCACAGCAAAAACAGCAAACAAGGATGCAACAAAAGCCAGAAACACAGTCCTCTTGCATGGGTTTCAGGTGGTGCTTTGTATGACTACATATGCAGCTCCTCTCCTCCTAAGTTTGCTGCAACGGTTGTTTGTTCTAAACTATAACGACTCTCTTTTTGCATTTTACATTGTAGTGCAGGTACTGCCACGATCCATTAGTCCAATCATATACGGTGTGCGAGATAACACTTACAGGGGGTACCTAAAAAGATATTTGCTGTGTAAATTCAGAGTCAGAAAACATCCAGATCCTTGATTTTTTTCAGTAAAAAATAATCCCTGATGTCCGTTGCTCAGTAACACAAAGTGTCTGTACTCGTCAAATTAACAAACCCTTAATTTCTAAGCCAATAAATAATTGATTATTTCAATAATCAATTAATCAGGACATATCTAATTAATTTCTTTAGCCACACACAACAGAAGTATTTTGGGAGGAAAATATTTCTTGTTTTAAGGCAATTTTATATAGCTGCTTGATTCCACACTAATTTTAAACAAATGTATAAAAAATGTAAGCAACTTTGGAAATAAAAAAATACCCCTGCGAATAAAATAAAGGGGTCATTTTCTGCTCGTCCTCTATTCTGTCTACTTTCTCTGTTTTTGCTGTTTTTAACTCAGACCATATGTAACACCTACAGTAGGATAAAATAAAAAATAAAGTAACAATATCATATTGATTTAGATGCATAAGTAAGGCTGTTTAGGTGATAAAAAAAAACATATTTTAGAGACAGAAGAACTCAAACAATGGAAAGTAAAAAATCTTGGATGACACATAACGATGAACAACCTTTAAAAATAAAAAATATATAGTTTTTTTTAACAGGCTGCTCAGTAGAGCAGTGGGTGGCACTTAAGGGTGTTCAAAATAATCGTCATGACGATGCATTGCGATTCAAATTTTTGTGATCTACTGCATCGATTCTTGAAGGCAAGAATCGATTATTAAAAAGAAAAAAATGAACAAATAAAATACATTAATGGTTGGCACACATCAGCCAAATCAAGTGGAATACAACTTCCAGTCCAGCAGATGTCGCTGCGGATGTGTTGACGCCTGCTGCTTTGTGTCACAAGCATGTCCGGCCGTGGGATACTGCGACGAGTCATTCTTAAACAAAACATGGAGGACACTATGAAAATTCGCCCCGCGGCTCCATCACATTTCAAGTCAGATGCTTGGATGCATTTTGGCTTTAAAAACAAAGAAGGTACAAATTAAATTGATATGATGCACGTCATTTCCAAAAGGGGAAATATACATTTGAATGTTTTCATTTCATTGGTTTAAAGGACCACTGAGGCCATGTAAACGGCACTGATTATCCTTATTTTGTTTTCATAATTTTGATGAATCCTAAATCTTTTTGTCAGTGTGTCCACGCCAGTAATAGTAATATTTCTGTCCAGTATTTGTTTTCATGGCAATACCTCCAAAAGTTGTTTCAATAAATACAGCAATGTATGAATTCAGTTGCTTTCAGTTATGTATCAATTGAAGACACGATCCAGATCATACACAGCCAGTCAGCCACTGGTAAGGGCTGTATCTTTTTCTTACAGTGTACAGTGAAATGCATCGCAATATTTCAAGTATCATGACGCATCATGATAGAATTGCATCGTGGCATGTGAATTGTAATTGGATTGATTAATGACTTTTTTGCCAATACCCACCCCTAGTAGCACTGCTGACTTGCAGCAACAAGGTTGTGGGTTCGATTCCCAGCCCGGGGTCTTTCTGCATGGAGTTTGCATGTTCTCTCTAAGCATGTGTGGGTTCTCTCCGGGTACTCTGGCTTTCTCCCACAGTCCAAACACATTAGCTTAATTGGCTTCTCTGAATTCTCCTTAGGTGTGAGTGTGTGTATGAATGGTCCTGTATGTCTCTGTGTTGCCCTGTGACGGACTGGTGACCTGTTCCATAATGAAATATCACATATATTTACATCTTATATATATATATATATAAAAGAATATATTGTGATATTTCATTATGGAAAACAATCAAAATGTTCTGTTTATTATGAAATTACAATATTAAATTCTATTCTAGTAAGAATAGAAATACTAATATATATATTTATATATATTAATTTATATAATTATATAATTTCAGAGCACTTTTGAGAGAGAACTAAACCAGTTCTTACAATCATGGATCCATTTGAGCTCCTAGAATAAACAAAACTTTAATTGTTGTGTGATCCTGTATTCCCCATAAGTTGTATGTCTTGACCATCCAGTGGTTAATAATGGACAGAGCATTTTAAATATTTTGACATTTTTATATTTTTCTGTAAAAGTATTATTGTCCTGCTAGTGATTTTTGAATTAGACATGAGATATTCATTTTTGGTTAAATTCTAAATGTAATTAAAGAGATTGTGCATGTTTATGGTTACCTTTTTTAAAACAATGGTTATCAAAATATATTTATTAGTGCTGAAGTTACGTTAAAATGATCTATTCTACTTTTTGTTATGTCTAGTTTAATACTAAAGGATCTGGTTGTAATATTTATTTATGCATCACTGGTCCTCGCCTTCACACCGGAGGGTGGGTTTAAGCAAAGATACAACAATAAATAACCAGACTTGAATCCTATTTAATACTACAAAGAGAACAACCTCCTGAACAGGGATTACATGTTACATGCTTAGATCTAAGGTCTATCCGTTTGATCTAATATAATAATAACTTTTAATCTTTAACAAACATTTGTCTGAATTTTTTGTTTTCTTGTTGTAATATAAACGGTTTTTGAATGTTTTCTTTCTTATTAGATGTCGTCCTTAACTACCAGCACAAATTTCACACATCCTGAAGGCAACCTAACTGGAGCTGGAGTGGAACTGGGCATGTTTCCTTTCATTACTGTTATGAGCAATGTGGTTGTTATCTCACTGGGCATCATCATCTGCTTCATTAATGCTTCAATGGTTCACACATTCCAAAAGCATCAAGTATGGATTTATGATACTGTTTTTCAGTAGCTTACAGTTTGTTTGTTTTCTTTTTTGAATCTCACTAGTGGGGTAAAAAGATAAACTTGGGAGAGTTTGCAACTTTTCCAGCTTTCGTATGTTTTTCTTCCTAATAAGTTCTTAATGTGATTTTCTTTTCTGTGTAAATTAGTTTCCAGTAATTTTTACAACCTTACAGTTTAACTCTGGATTTCTGTACTTTAGATCTTCAGGTTCAGTCCTCGCTACATCCTTTTCATCCACTTGGTGCTGAACGACATGATCCAGTTGACAGCAAGCATTTCCCTCTACATCTTTGCCCATACCTTCTACACCATCTACGTCTCCGTGTGCATCGTCCTCCTTTTGCCCTCTATTCTCACAAACACAAACACTCCATTAAATCTGGCGTGCATGGCAGTAGAGTGTTATATCTCTGTTTGCATTCCTCTCCGCTATGAAAATATATGCACTGTAAAGAAAACCTATATTATGATAGCTCTTATGTGGGCAATAAGCTTGCTCGCTGTCCTGCCTGATGTCTTCACTCTTTTTATCACAGAGGAGCTGCATTTCATGAAAATGAGATTGTTCTGTGACAGGGAATCTGTGTTCAGAAACAGCTACGGTACAACTAAGAGAGATGCATCACATATATTTTTTCTGGTGGTGGTTTGTCTCACTCTGATTTACACATATTTCAAAATTCTGTTTGCAGCAAAAGCTGTAAATTCAGATGCTAGAAAAGCAAGAAATACTATCTTGCTTCATGGTTTTCAAACACTGCTGTGCATTATGGTGTATGTGCAACCTCTTCTAAAGCAGCTTTTGATATACTTGCTTCCCAATCAGAGAAAATCTATACAAAATATTACTTTTGTGTTAATTCAGGTCTTTCCTAGGTTTCTTAGTCCAGTTGTTTATGGATTGCGAGACAAGGAATTCAGAAAGTATTATAAGAAGTATTTTATATCTTTACAAGTAAAGGCAGCGAGGGTACAATTCTAACATATACACTGCAAAAAATATAAATCTCAATAAGTTATATTTTCTTAAAATAAGTGTGTTTTTTCTTGATTTGAGGAGGTAAGTAAGACACTTTGCCAATGGAACAAGACAATTTCCTTTTAAAATAAGAAAAAACTATTTTATCGTCTTATTTCAAGTAAATATTATCTAACTATCTTATTTTAAGAGTGAAAATACTCATTCCATTGGCAAATCATCTTATTTACCTGCTCAAATTAAGGCTAAATATACTTAATTTAAGCCATTTTTTACTTATTTCTGGATTGTTTTTGCAGTGTACCTGAAATCGTCTTAAACATTTTAACACAGGTTTCAATGTGCAATCAATTTGTTATTGTGTTTAAATTGTATAAACATAATGTAATCTGAATGTATTCTGAACACTTGACTCACTGTGTTGTACTGTATAAAGCTAGACAGGTCAGTAAAATAAAAAAATATATGTGAGTTTCTAGGTCCTATGATAAAGAAAGTGATTTATTTAAAACACGAACAAAAAGTCCTGCTTGTTGATAACAGCAAGTTTGAGAGGTGCCCATGTTCTGTTGAGTAATCGAAATTTGTACATACGTATAGCAGAAAGTGTCAACTAGATCTAATAGAACACCACATGCTTTGTGTTTTCAGTGTTTATTTGAGAGTTTAAGATTTGCATACATCTACTTCTTATCTGCTGTATGATATTTTGATTTAAAATTTTACCTGCCCAGCCAGTGTTCTAATGCACCATCTAAATAGAAATATGAAAATAAAGTCTTAAATAGCGCAAGTTTTGCTACACAATCTTTGTTGTAAATAAAACACCCTTTAAATCTATGAGGTTAACATAAATAAAATATAGGCTGTACAAAAACTTGATGTGGGCACAAAAGGACTAAAGAAAGAAAAGACGAAGCATTGCTGCAGGATAAATCATCACATTGGCCAAAATAGTTATAAAAAATTCTTATAGTAGATAAAGTCATAGTGTTTTTATTTTCAAATTTAGAGGTAAAGTCCTACAGAAAAGTTGTGTGTGAATAACTTGGCAATGTTGAACTCTTCAATCATGCCTTATCGATAACATTGATCCCAATGCTAAACCCCTACCGGAAAGAAATGCAAGGTAGAGTGACATACAGTGGGCATAAAAGCACATTGCTATCCTGCTCCGAAGCCAATCATCTTGCAAGATGAATGGCTTTATTTAGCTCCTGGCCCAGGTTCTCTCTCATGCGGGCAAACTTTCACCCACGTCCACCCCATCTCCTCCCTTATTCTCAGTCCCACTCACCGTCTGCCTTATTCCACCACCAGTGTCTAGGTCTCGGGGGAAGACAACTCTAATCCTTTTGTGGGTTACTCATCCAAACGTATATAGACTCACAGCATTGAAGTCTTCTGCCAGGGCCTGAGCACCAAATAACTTATTT